GTCATGTGTCAACCTTGATATTTATATTTTTACCTGGGAGACCTTTGCTGTTCAGGGAGCCCAATCTCAGATATGCTGGCACAGCACACTTGCAAGTGTTCTACCACGCTGGCCTATGCAGTGCATCCCCATTCAGAACTGTGTCCCGATGGAGTGTAGGAGGAAAAAGTTCAGAGATTACTGATCACTGGGAAAGTTATTCAAGTAACTTCCTTCCTACATCTGACAAACTTGTCTGAAACCCCTGTACCTACCTGTACTTTGTTGACAGCAACTGGGATTCTTAAAGGCGGCTCTGAAATCCTTGCATAGAGCCAGAAATACAGTTAAAACTTGATGATTCCTTCCCTCGCTGTGCCACAAAGGGACCAGTTGCTATATATGGTGTGAGGTGCAATTTCGGCATCTTGGAAAGGAAACTGCAGCTGGAAGTGTTGCTTTGAGCTGCTCTTCAGAGGATGAAGGTGGAGAGGACCATGGTTGAGTGTGCAGCAGAGGAAGGACTACAGATGAGGATGAGCTGCTGGACATCCAGCAGCTGAGCCAGAAGAGCATTTGGACTGCAAAACACAAGGGCTACCTTTCAGAATGTGCTGAAGGGGATGTGCCCCAGTCCTGAATTTGAAAGTGAGAAGAGAAACCACAATTATTTTACAGGAATGCAGGGCAGGAGAAGGGGAGTCACAGGAGGAGGATGGTGCTACCTCAGTTTTTCTGTTCCTTATCAGATATCACCACCTCCTGTTCCAGCCTGACCCAGCAGAGCCCAGGGCTGTGGCCATGGGTCCTCTGTGAGGCCTGGAACTCGGCAGTGCATCAAGGGATGTCTTGGAAAACATTCCTGGCTGCGATGGATTCTCCAGGAGGCTCTCCCTGGGAATTTGGTCCTGCCAGAGGGAAGGAGAAGAGGGGCATTGGTCCAAACGACCAATTGGTGAGCAAACGACCATCGGGAAATGTCAGAGGCTGTGGCTGCCCCATCCCTGAAAGTGTCCAAGGCCTGGTTGGTTGGGTCTTAGAGCAGCCTAGTCTGGTGAAAGATGTCCTTGCCCACAGTAGAGGATGGGATGGGATGGGATGGGATGGGATGGGATGGGATGGGATGGGATGGGATGGGATGGGATGGGATGGGATGGGATGGGATGGGATGGGATGGGATGGGATGGGATGGGATGGGATGGGATGGGATGGGCTTTGGGGTCCCTTCCAACATAAACCATTCTGTGATTCTCTGACAGCAAAAGTTTCTTCTGGTGGCCAACGTGGAAATACTGATGGTATTGTGATACCTAGCAATGCAGTCTCTGGCAATGCATGGAGAAGGAGGGGGAAGTGCCCCATCGAGCACTATCCAAAAAGCACAGGGAAAATTAGACCAAAGTGACCCCCATCACCCCTAAAACACAAAAGTGGGGGACATTACCATAGATTGGGTGTTACTGGATTCCAGTTTCTGCCCGCCACTGAGGGGATGAACTGCTCCCTTTAGAGTTGGAGGTGTTTCTAAGGGCAGTGAAGGGGAGTCCAGAAGAGCTAGGGGGTTCAGTAAGTCAGTCCCTTTATGGGGTGTAACAGCTCCCACAACTTCTCCTCTCTCCATCCAAAATCAAACTGAAATGCATAAATGAAATTTAAACCTCTTTCAACAATGTTCACTGCAAGTGGTCCTAATTAAAGTTCCCTAAATGGCTGTAATTAGCTACCAGCTGATGTAATATTTACTCCAGGATTTTTTCTTTTAAAAAACCCCACAACCAAACACAGACACAAAACACTATTTATTTAATTATTTATTTTACAAATTCCTGCCACCAGTTGTGCCGAAAATGTGACTTACAGAGCGGGAGCTGAAACTGGAGTGGCTCTTGTACTGAAAAAAAAAAAAGCAGCTTAAAGCACAGGAAAAGCATCTTGCATGAGCAGGCAGCACTCCCAGAGCCATTTGCTGCACCGACTTAACAAAGTATGATCAATTAGCAATTTTAAAATAACACAAATTCCCCCGTCGCCTTGCAGAAGCGGTTTTTCCACGATGCTCTGCCGGCTCCTCTCTGCATCCCTTTTGCCAAACTAGTCGGTTCCAGTTAGGTCATAAATCACTCGATGTCACGCACTGAAGGGGAGGTGACGGGTCCCTTGGCGTTCCCAGCCCTGGCGAATCCTTTATCGAGCTCCAGGAACCTCCGCTCCCATTGCTAATCCGCGCCTGCCTCCCCTTGGACAGGCCTGGCCACTTCCTTTCCCAACAATCCTCTCCTGCTTGTTTGCTTTTCAGAAAGCTGATTCAGCCTTGGAGCGAGCGGGTGCGACACCCGCAGCGCTTTGGGTCCTGCCCCCGCCGCCTGCAATGAGCCAAATGAACTGTGATGGAATTGCTCCACTCCAGCCAGGACAAGCCCTCTCTTTATTAATCTTGGGGGCTGTTTTCCCGACTGTGGTGGCAGCTTGGCCTTAGAAAGAGCTGTGGACTGTGTGTCATGGGGGCTGCTGAGGGTTGTGTCTCACACATGATAGCCATGTTTTATCAGCCTTGAACCAGGGGGCCCGTTCCAGGTGGTGTTCCCAGGGGGCAGGGATGGAGTGGGGGTGAGCTGGGGGTGCTGAGGTGCCCTTGCACTCTGCCTCGGGGGAATGACGGTGGTTTGGGGAGTGAGATTGCTTATGGGTGTGTAAGGCGGAGACTGGAGAGGAGGTGAAGAACTGGGGGGTGCATGGATGTCATACCTGCACCCCCTCTCTGTGGCATCCTGGAGCAGGGGGTAGGTCAACCTCTGCTCCCCTGGTGGTGACATGTCCCTAGACCTGCCCTGTCCCGCCCCCCCAGCCCTGGCTGGATCTGACCCCCTCCTTATGTCTGTCAGTCCCCAGCACACTCTGGCCCCCCTAGGACCCTGACCCTTGCTGCCCTGCCACTTGTGGTCACCCCCTGCTCCCACCTTGCTGATCCTCAGCCCTGACCCCACCCCAAGGCTGGATCCGACCCTCCCCTTGTTCCTTCCCCCTTATCCCTCCACGACCCCACAGTCCACCTTGACATTCTGTTGCCCCCCAGCCCTGTGTGACCACCCTCCATACCTCCTGCTCCCCCCAGACCTGCCCTGACCCCCAGGCCTTTCTGACCCCACCTATCACCCCCAGCCCTCCCGACGCCATGGGACTCTGACCCTCTGCTTCTTCCCCATACGTGTGTGACCCCCCCAATGCCCCCCAGACCTGTCCTCATCCTGAAATTAGAGCTGACCTGCCCTTGAGCCTGCTGCCCCCTCAGCCCCCCCCCGAATCCCATACCCCATGGTCCATCCTGAGCCCTTGCTGCCCCTCCTGCCCCGTGTGACCCCTCCCACTCCTCCTGCCCTCTCCGACCTGCCCTGACCCCCAGGCCCCACTGACCCCCCCCACCTGCCGCCCTCGCCCCTCCCTCCGCCCCCTTAGGCCCCACCCCTGTTCAAGCCACGCCCCCTGACCCCCCCTCCCCCCCGCCGCGCAAGTCTCGCGAGACGCGGCGCGGTTTCCCCAGCGCGTGTGCCCCCATCGGCCGGGCCAGGCCCAGCGCCGCGGGGCGGGAGGGACGAGGGGCCGCACCTGCCCTGGCCCTACCGCGCCCGCCGGCCCCGTGCACCCCCCGCCCCGCCCGCCCCACCTGGCCGCCGGGTCCTCCCGCGAGGCCTTTGTCCTGCCGCCGCCGGCCCGCGCGCGCTCCGGCCCGGCCAGGCCTCTCACGCGAGGCCGGGGATCCGCGGCCTACCCCCAGCCCGGAGCCTTCTCTCTCCACCTCCCGCCACCCTTCCCCTCCGCCCTATTCAGCCCCAGTGCCTGCGGCAGAGGCCGCGGAACCGCTCCCGGCCTCCTCTTCCCGCCCGTGCCGCCGCTGCCGCAGCAGGTTCCCTCCCTCCCTCCTTCTTCTCCTCCTCCTCCTGCTGCTGCTGCTGCTCCTGCCCCCGGCGGCGGCGGGATCCGCGCGGTGCCCGGGGAGCGCTGGGCCGGGCAGCGGCGGCAGGAGCGGCAGCGCCAGGTGAGACCCCCAGGGGCGGCAGGGGCAGCGCGGGGACACCTCTCGCTTGGTCCCCGCCCGGCCCGAGACTGGGTGGGGGCGGCCACGAGGGAGGCGGTGGCAGGGGCTAGTACCGCGGGCCGGGCCGGGTCACGGCCGGAGGGCCGCGGCCTGAGCCCCAGGGCGGCGGTAACGCGGCCTGGGCCCCTCGCCGGGCGCGGAGCAGCGCAGGCCCCAGGGCCCAGCCCGGCCTGGCGGGTGAGGGTGAGAGCCGGGGGCAGTGCGGGGGTGGCGGAGGGTGGGCACGGCCTGCGGAGCCTCGGGCTGAGGGTTGAGGCGGTGCTGGGGGGGTGGAGGAGGAGGAGGAAGAGGCCGAGGCGGTGCAGCAGCTGGCAGCGGGGCAAGGCTGCTTGCTCGGCGGCTGGTGCTTCTGCGTCCCGAGTGGGTAGGAGAGGGGTGCTCTAAATCCCCTCCCGGGAGGAAATGCAAGCTCTGCCTGGAGGGGTGCAGCGGGTCCCGGGGCAGCTGCCGGCGGGGGGAGTCTTGTGTCAACCCCTTCCCAGAGCAGCATCTCGGTGTGAGGATGCGATTCCTTGGTCGCCTCATGATGGGCGAGAGCCCTAGGAGCACTTGAACATCTTGGCGTTTGCGGTTTGTCTGTCGTTTTCCTCGCAGCTCAGATTTCCTGTTTTGAAAACTGGGCTGAGAGCTTTGGGCTTTTAGAGCCCGTTTCAGAAATACGATTGTTTAATAAGCATGTTTAGGATCCCATTCGTTTTTGAGGCTTGGGACTGATTTGAGAGAGCAGTTGAGAATGCCCCCGGATGGATTCACTTTGCCCCTGTGACTTGGAGCCGCAGCGTTTGGAGGAAGCAGCAGGGACAAAATGGACAGTTCATAAAAGGAACAATTGTGCACTGCCTGTTCTAGAGGGCACTTGCTGCCCTTCAAGAACTTTCCTCATCGCATATGCTATTTACACAGCAAATCTTTATCTTCTGTTTCTGCCTTTTTTTTTTTTTCCTACCTTAGTCCTGAAAATGAAACTGGAACAGACATTTCTGGAAATGAACTTGATTGGTGCAGTTTGGAAGATATGATTCACAGTTATAATGAACAGTAAATTTTGTCCCATTTTTTCTCAGTTCAGGATTTGAATTGTGTCTTTCCTGATTTTTAACCTGTTTACACAGTTAGGGTGGGTACACTTTTAATCCTTCAAATAAGGCATCCATAGTGTTGGATTGCTAAGAGGTACCCCAGGTACATCCGGGATGTAGAAGCTTCTGTTATTTTAGAAGTATCTGATGCTTTACCTTGTAAATTAAAAGGTTTAATCGTGCGCTATTTTCTTCTTATAATCCCACTCTGTGCTTGGAAGAAGCAAAGCTGTTATCAGTGAAATCTGGAGTTCGTGGAGATCGAGTATTTCCAGGATTGGCCAAAAATAAATTATGGGGTAAAGAATGTTGCTTTTTTTTCTCCTAGTCATGCAGCACAGATGAAAAGCTCTGAAGCTTTTAGTCATAACACTCTGGTCCCATGTTTTCCTTTTAATAAAGCATCCAGTGGGAGAATGTGACATAATTGGTTTCTTGGATTTAGAGATCTTGAAATGGCTGGTACAAGAGAGGAGAGGAAACTCCAGCAGGGTTATGGTTTAAATACTGTAATATGGTAGCAAAGTCGTATTGTTCCTACATGGTAATCTTGCATTTCTCTTGCAAGAAAATGCTCTCTATGCGCTTGTGCTGCAGAACAAGCACTTTAAGTCTCATCAGTTGCACAGAATATTAAATGTCTCTCTCCTTTCCTTGCATTGCATAATCTGAGTGTTATTCTTCCACAGCAGCAGAAATGATGGAAGAATTGCATAGCCTGGACCCACGCAGGCAGGAGCTCCTGGAAGCCAGGTTCACTGGGGTTGGGGTTGCCAAGGTGAGTGTCTGAATACCTGTGGTGACACGTATGACTGCTTAGCCATCCTGCCTTGCTCTTTGGTTGGGTTTTTTAATTTCTACATGGATAATTTTGCTTTGCAAACAAATTCTGTATCACTTGTTGTGTTTTGACCTCTAATTTGTCTGAAGTATGTTCGAGAGGAATGAAAATGGGATCTCTGTGGGCAGATGTTTTGCTATACGGAAGATTTTGGGCTCTAATTAAGTTCTTACGAGTTGCTCCATCTTAAGGCAACTTATATGCCCAAAAAACTCCATGACAGCTCTATAGAAGAGGGAATCTCATCTGGCTCTTCCTTTCTCCAAGGATATGTTTGAGAGCTGAATTTGGCTGCTGGTGGGATACAGTTTCAAGTGTTATGTGTTGGATACAACACATAACCAGATTGAAACATTGAGATTTCTTCTTTGGGGTGCAGGAGCTAAAATAGTCTACCCCATCATATGGAACACACACAAAAAGTCTTTGCAGAGCAGCTCTCCTGTGACTGGTCCACAACCTGCCAATAAAATCCCATCTTTATCCTCATGTTTGGTCAGGAGCTATCTAAAGCAAGGCACCTGAATGACAACCTTGTGTGGTTTCTTGGTGTCCTGGCATTAAGCTGTGAGTTCTCCAGGTGTTGATACTGTTAATGTCAAGTCTTTCTGAGAAATGAAATAGTAACAGAACTCATTTTAAACTAGGTCAGGAGAAAGGTAACTGAGTTTTGAACATCAAGGTAGATGGTAAAGCAACACATCATTAGATGGTTTTCTGAAACCACTTAGAATTATTTTGAGAAAAGCACATTGTAGATGCCACATTTCTCAGAAGAGCACAAAGTGATTCAAAACTTGAAAGGGTTTTGTTTGAGTTCTCACTTTTCTTTCTGCTCTGCCTCTCAGACAAAGTTGAGTTTGGGAAGAGAGCACAAGAAAGCCAAAGGCTCAGCTGTAAGAAAGTGTAGTAAGGAAGATTAATACTAGAAGTTCAGAGGTAACAGTTTCGGTTGCTGATGCAAGAGTGTGGGGGTTTTTTTATCTTTTCCCCTACTCTTAAGACTTTAAAGATATTAAGTTATTTTTCTTTCATAAAAGTTGATGGCATTTATTGTGCTGTGATCTTGTTTCATACAACATTACAACTTTTCATGTATTTTATCACCTGTTTCTTGCCTCTTTTTCCCCGTTTTGTCGCTTTAGAATCTTTAGCTGTACCAGTGCAGATAAACCCAAACGTCTTACTAGAATAGCTAAAAGCATAGACACTGGTATAGCTTTAAAGCAGTGCCAATGTATTCAGTGTTTGCAAAGAATGTTAGGAACTCTTCCTTTTAAAGAAATAACCTTTGAGAGATACAGGAAAGCAAATCTGAATTATGTTTCCAATATGTTTGGAGCAGAAAGTACATGCCCTTTTCTGTAGGGGTGAATATTGACAAGTCGTTTCTAAAGCAATCCAAGGAAAAATGCCTCATTTATTGGAGGCCTCACTTCGGGCAAAGCTGTTCTGAGTTTTATTTTTACCTGTTGTTATGCAATTTTACCTTGTACTAGTCAGTAAACTGTTAAAGTGCATTACACTTATTGAAAACAATATATTTATTTATTTACTTGCATTCTTGCTAATTTGCAATAGATCAGCCAACCATTGATATAAATTAGCATGACTCTACTATGTTGCAGCAAATCTTGGTTGCAATATTAATTTCAGCTACTACATTCCCTCCCAGGTTGGTGCTTCAAATTCCCTCCCTACCCCCCCAAGCCTCCGTCCGTCATGCTCCGCACTGGCATTGGTAGGTCACTGTCTTAAAGGGAATATATTGGGAAAGCTGTGATACAATTTTGTGTGATTCAGCTAAGATTTTTAGCTGGCTCCAATGAAATGTTTAAGGAAAGAACTGTGGAGTAAGTGAGTGCCATCTAGTGGGACAGGACCTGGCCCATCCTCCTGGGATGGAAGGTATCTGGTGCTGTTTATTGCATAAAAGGAAGAAATGTCATCTCAGATGCTCAGATGTGATTGGATGAAGGCAGCAGGCAGTTGTGCTGAGCTTCCTGCCTTCCTCCCACTGGGTGTATCTCACTTGTTCCTTTAATGTTTAGAAACACAAGGGTATATTTTGGACCTGTATAAAACGAAAGCATTAGCTTATACTTTAATACAACTTCAGCTTCAAGCCCACAGTTCCTGTGTTATTAAGGAACAACTATAGGTGTTTTGAGATATGAATGAGAGCAAGCTGATCTAGAATAAGTTTTCAGGCTGGAAACTAGAAAAAAGCTTCTAGCCATCAGGGTCATAGGATTCTGGAAGAGCTTTCCAATAACAGTAGAGGACAGAAATCCTAAACTGTTTTGGAAACAGCTGTGTGCTTGGCACCTCCTGTGGTAGCTGAAGGCACAACTCAATGACCGAGATCATTTGCAGCCCCAAAAGCCTCAAAATTCTGTTACAAGTCTGTGATGAAGTTTCTTACTTAGTGGCTGAAGAATGTATTTCACTAGAAGCTTGGAGTTAATTCATTGAAACAAATTTATGAGCAAGGAATGTTTCTAGGCAACTGTTACACTCCTGTGCTTCACCCATGTCGATAGATAGCTTCAAAAATCTGGTGATGCTCTACATGTCTATTCTTGCCATATGGTGAAGTGCCATTCTTCCCCAAATTCCCAGAGCAAGTCCCTGAATTAACATATGACACTCTGGCATCTACTATTCCTGCTTATTTAGCTCCTGTTTATATTTACTTACTGGGAAAACCTAAGTGCATTCCCGTGAGGCATTATCCTGACTAGACATCTTCTTCCTTGGGTCAGAAGGCCCAAGTGACAAAATGTGAGTTGTTTCTCTAGATAATATTGTTTGATTTAGTCTGTTCTCCTGCCTCCCTTCCTCCTATTTGCTTACTGCCTTTAAGATATCAGGTGGGTTAACTTGAAGGGGTTTGTGAAATTTCCACAAACGTTTCCTGGATAAGAATTTGAATAAGTAGCTGTAGTTGGTGAATCTGTATTTGCACAGAGCTCTGTCTCGGGCTTAAGCAGGATGGGTCCTCAGAACAGCACATGTATCTTCTACAAGTTTGGTTTTCGAAAGATCTGTGAACCAAGCTCTGTGTGCTGCTTTTATAGTTAAACTAAAATGGCTGAAGTACTTTTAGGGAGAGTAGCTGGGCTGTAGGAATCTTGTAGATCCATCTGACTGTACCAGAATTGAAAAAAGCATTGGTCTTGGTGGTAGCTGGTGTTCCCTTTCCTCCTGCTTTGATGTAGAATACATGCTGCCAAAAAATTGCTCATAAAGATCAGTATTTTCTTGTATTAGTTTGTTTTTTACATATTCTCTGTAACTTTTGAAGTCTTGATCACTTCAGCAGCTCTGGTTCTGTGATGTACTCAGCAACAGTTTTAGCAGCAAAGTTACCATGTTGAGAATCTGTGTTTGAGGATCATCATGTCCTCCTTAGAGGGAAGTGGTGCTCCCCAACCGGTGTCATAGGCCGTGAGAAGAGCCAGTTAATAAGAGTTTTAAAACTTAGAATTGAATTTAGCAGCTGCCACAGAATGTGCCAGGACTTTATGCCAGATACTTGAAAATTCTTTGGATACTTTTGTGTGCAACATTACTTCAAATGTGTTGTCTGGCTGCTAGAGCCTAGAAATAGTTGTCAGATCTCAGTCCTATTTCTGCTCCTGAGCTGAGGATTAGGATGGGTTGCGTGACCCTTCTGTCCAGTTTGCCATCACTAAAATAAAAATACCGTATTTCTAACCAGAGAGAACACTTGAGGCATAATGGAAGCCAGGCAAATTCCGCTGCAAATCTGCTTGCCCATCTGATAGAGTGAGGGTTACCTGTGAACATCTAAGAGTAGATTAACTTCTTGTGGCAAAAAGACCTCAGTGATTCAGGGATTTCATTATCAGCAGTAATACTGAGCTTTTTTAGAAGTCCAATTAAGAAGCAGGTTGTAATTCTTATACTTATGTGATGCTTGAAATAAGAAAAGAATATGTTAATTAAACCTGACTCAGTAGTACTGGACCAGAGTAACTCTAAAACCATTCAACCATTTCACTTTGTTGCAAGCCTGTGTGGAGTCAGCAATAATCTTTAGTGGCACTTAGGATTGACTCTTTGCCTTTGCAATCTCCTGATCTGCTACAGAATTCAGAGGAACTCAGGTTATCCTAGCTGGAGGTAATGAGGCATGTCTATCTCCATGTCTCCTTCATTCAGACAGCAAGAGAATTTTGCATGTTGCTGTAAGCCTATGTTGGAGGCTCTGGCTAGGCAGCTGGAATTCCTAGAGCTCCCTTTCAGTAGGAGGAATTGGAGATCACAAAATGGAGACTGCCCAGCTTGAGTTGTGGAGTGATGGATCATTTCTGGGAACTTGGGAAGGCTGTGGAAATGCACAAGTCATGGGAGGCAGGAGATGGTAAGGAGGGCTGAGTCAGCTTGGTGTTGTTCTAGATGATCAGGTGGGAGCTATTAGCAGGATAAGTTGTTTCTTTTGAAGTCTCAGCCATTGAAGGCTCACTGTGGGCTTTCCAGGGGCTCTGTCAAAGGGAGAAATGACTAACCAGCTCCTTTGAGTGGCCAGATTTTAAATTTTTGCCTCTTGAGTAGGAGTCTTCAAAGTGCCTGCTGCTGTTGCATCCAATTCTCAACATGGATGCTTTATTGTGCATAGGTAGGTCACAGACTTTGTAGCAGCAGTTGATAGGTGAATCACAAGGGAAAAAAGCATGCCAGCTTATCTTGGAGAGAAATTCCTTGTGGAGGAGGAAGTGTGTGCTGTACTTGTGCTTGTCATTTGGGCAAACACTAGGAACTATTAGCTTGTTTCAGATGACCCACGTATTTTGAATTTTTGCTGAGCCCCATCACCAATTGCTGTGACACAGGGCACAGTGCATGAGTGGGCTGGTAGTGAGAGCAGAGAAGTGCAATATTATCCCAAAATTGTTTATGCTAGAAAAGTCAGATAACTTCTGGAATAAAATTCATAAGCCCTTCCTGTGTAAACTATTGTATGTTTATTATTCCCCATTGCTACTTCCCTGACAATATACTAATGTTCTTTGCTTACTTGGGTTTTTTTTTTCCAAAATTCATGTTCATTCCTTTAATTCCTTTTGTGTCATGTCCACTTAAAAATGGTATGCTAAAATAAGTACTGAACATTCATCCCAAGTCAGTTTCTGAGTTAAATGTAAACAGTCAGGAATGATAAAATATAAATTTGAAACATTTTTGTATACACCCTCTCACTGACTGTTAGCTGAGGGGAGATATTCAGATATATGGTTTCTCACATCCATGCATAAACTTACTGCTATAAGGAGTTGATACCTAATTTCACACATAACCTCATGTTACCTGGATAATCAGGAAAACTTGCTTTTCCTTTCTCTTGACTCACTACATGAGGAGGTGCAGCTGAGCACGAGGTCAGGGTCCTGAAACATCCTAGGTATTGCATCTTTGTTGCTTTGAGTACAGCACGTTCTAGTGAACAATTTGAGTTTCCATACCCAGAATGCCTCAAAACAAGACTTTTTGCCAACTTTACCAAGTTCAGCTCTTGTCTGTAAAGGTCTAATCCTTTAGAGTAAGAAAACTGTCAATGGGAGATCCTCTCAAATGTAAGCAGGGAAAAGGGAAAGTCATGCGTTTGATCCATTGCATGGGTCAAAACATGTCTACAAAGAATTAATTATGCATTTGTTCACAAATCAATACATGTGACAGTGAAATTGCTGGATACCTGTAGACAATGACAAGCTGTTCTGTTCCAGTTCCATAATGAAGAACTTGGTTCCTTCTCACCCTTTCTCCTACTGCACTGAGTTGAGTTTTACCACATCATCAGTGTAGGTTCTAGAGGAAGGTTTAAAAGAGAAAAAAGGGGGTTTTTTTTCTGTTCAAGAATCTGACCAGCATTAAACTCCTCTTTTATTGCAATAAATTGTTTTGATTCCAGCTGGTAGAGCTAAAAATTCCCCATGCAGGGTAGTCAGTACAGGTACTTGTAGTTCTGGAACTAAGAAAAACATTGTGGATTTTGTATTAGGCATTTTTCCAGCTGCTTGCATCCCAGAACTTTACATTCAGGTGTAAACTGAGTGGATTTCTTGTACCAGACAAGATAAACTTGTATTTCTGCAACAAACGTTAGTATCATTACTAGCTGTAAGTGGCCCCATCAGTTAATTCTCCAGGTCATCTCAGAATACAGGGGCCTTGCAGAAGAATTCTCCTGTGTAAGCCACTGACATTACCCTTCAATCATTATGTTCATGGAAAGTTCAAATGTGGTGGTTTTGGAACAGCTGCTCCTGTCATTTGCTATCCAGCTACAAAATGGAGACAGCAAGATTTAAGCAAATATGGAAACAACTTCCACTTTTCTCTTCATCATGTCAGGACCTCAGTGTGAGACAGCCAAGTGCTTGTTAGGAGAGATGCTCCTGCGTCTCACTAAGTACTCACCTGGCACAGAGGGTTGATTGGTGCCTCGGGTGTGCTGTTGGGGTTGGAGTTCCTGAAGAATGGAAAAATTTTGGAGGGCAGCATTTGTGCAGTTTATAAAACTTATGGTCAAGTTATTTCATGAGCAAAAAGATTCACCTTCTATTGCCACTTGCCATAAGATTTTACAATTTTTTCAGCAGTGAGACTTTCATACGGATGTAGCTAAGGTTAGTGTTGGCACTTCTGTTGTGTTCGCCCAGGAGTAAATTCCTGGAGTAACCAGGAGTTGTACCTATAACATATGTGAGCCATCATGTTGGATGGCGAGGAGCTTGTTTCTTTGCTTAAAATAAACAGTTGCTGAAGAGATGAGGTGAAACATTTCTCTGGTCCTGAGCTATTTGTGTGATCCCTTGAAGGGATAATGGTATGGCTTAAAGAATGTAAACCTGCAATTTTTCCTTAAGGGAATCCTAAATGTTTAGCTTCTTGAGCTATTCAAGTGTTGGGGTTTTGTTTTGCTTGTTTGGGGTTTTGGGGTTTTTGTTTGTTTTTTTTTTTTTGTTTGGTTTTTTTGTTTGGTTGGTTTTTTTGTTTGGTTGGTTTTTGTTTGTTGGTTTTGTTTTTTTGGTTTTTTTTTTTGTTGATGCAACTGTGCATGTCATTTTAGGAGAAACAAATTTGATATGCAACACAGTGAACACAGAAGGTAAACTTTTACTTTCAGCACATGCCTTCTTAGGAATTGGAGTTAGTAATAGCTAGGTTATGTCACAATTTGATAATGGTGTTTGTCCCTTAAACAGGGGAGGGAGAACTGGTCTGTACAAAAATTACCTGCTGTGGGGTTTCTCTGTGGTGTTAAGGCTTCTCCACCACTTGAGTCTTCTGCTCAAGTGTATAATGAGAAGTGGTTTTGCTTTGAGGAAAGATTGATTGATGGGAAGTGGTTACTGCAAAGTTAAAAATGCTAAAATAGAATGCATCTTGGGGAAAAGATGCTTGCAAGTTATTAATGGAGAACTGGCTTTATCATGTCATTCTTCCTGTTAATACATTCCAGTATTAATTGTGAATCTTGTTTTTGCATCTTTGTCAAATTTGTCTTCATTTCTTAAGTTAGATCTGTAGGAGGATACTTTTGTGTTAGGATAAAACACAGTGACTTTGCATGATTCACTTTTTCCTTTTAAAACCAGTTTTATTAGAGATCTTAAATTTTCGAACTACTTGGATATGTAAAAATGCAGATGTGTATCCAGCAGAGCCTGCAAAGATGCAGCAGACTCTTGAGGTACCTGGGTACAATTTTGGCAAATCTATTCTGGCCTCTCAAGTTTCTGCTTTGCCTGGTGGGAGCAGCTGCTCTGCGGGCAGGTCCCCTATGGGTCCATAAAATAGCCAAGCGGGAAGGGTTGTATTATGGGTACTCGTTGTACTGCTGTTAACATAAGTTTCACTTGTACCACTTTGCTAGTGTTAAAAAAAGCATAAAACAGCACATTTAAATCAGTGGTGCAGCCAGCATCCCATAACAGTAATAGCTGGCTTGCTAGATGAAGATGTGTCTGAATGCTTAGCTCAGGGTCAAGCAAATGCTTGCCTGGAGAGCTGAGCTTGGAACTTCTGCTGCTCAACAAATCAGGTTTTCTTCCTCAAACCTTAGGCTTCTATAAATACCACCGTGGCTGTTTTGTGGATGTGGGTAAATAGACCAGTTAGGATATGAACTGATGCAGAAATACTCCAAAAGTTGTATCATTATTCTGAGATAAAATTGTTGAACAGTCCAACTGTCCTGCTGCAAATGGCTTCTGGAGCCTCTTAGTGCCCCATCCCACGTTTGGGAGTTTGACCCATGGTGCTGCTGTAACCATAGTTAGCCTGGAGATTGAGTGTTTATTGGGATGGGTCTGCCTTATGGGGAAGTTGTTTCTAACAGTCTTTGCTTGCTTTTCACTAGGGTCCGTTAAACAGTGAGTCTTCCAACCAGAGCTTGTGCAGCGTGGGCTCTCTGAGTGATAAAGAATTGGAGGTAAGCAGGTATAACTGCTGGGGGTAGTCGGGTTTAAGTTGAACATGATCGATCTCAAAGCATGGAAGAAATTGTGTGAGAGTCAGTCACGGTCGTCTTAGTTTGGAGAGTAAAAGGGACCAGGGAAGTATTCAGCTTGACCCTGCAGGGTTTTGACCTTTCTATGAAGCTTCTCCTTGAAAGTTTCCACCATTCTAGGCAGATTTTACCCAATCCGAAACACAGCACTCGTAAAGCTCAGCTTGGGAAGCTGTTTTCAGTTCACGGGATACATTTTTGGATACCCATAATAAGAGAGCATTAATGGAAAAGTTTGCCATATCTATAAAATATGTGAGTTTGCCTAAGCCTATACAAGGCAGAGCATTTTGTGGGTTATTCTGTGGAAGTGTGGGGAGGTAGAAATTGATGCTTTGTCCCTGGTTAGTCTCAATTCTTTAGGATTAACTTTCAAAATGCTCATTAAAGCAGCAAAATTAATTGTAGTTATTTTTTATTCTAAAGTTCTATGTTAATAAACCAAAAACTCAAATATAAGTGCATTTTCTTAGGCATTTCCTGTGAACTTCCCCCATAGTTACCAGGTAAGTTTTGGATCGTATTTCCCTCTATTATATGACAGTACTGGTATGAGGGACTTTTGAGAATGCAGTATCTTAAACTCCATAAAGTAAATGTAGTTAATAGTAAAAAAGAAAAAATCTTAGTATTCGTTGTTTTAACTGGTTTTTTTTAAATGAACTTTTGTGGAGAGATATAAATTGACCAAGTTGACGTACTCGAATCTCCCATTCCTTGCTTTTTCAGTAACAGATAATGTTGTATGTCATTTTTGTTATGTAAGTACTTGAATGGAAAAACAACTTAAACTGATTCTCATTAATATGCTCACAGCTCCATGGAGGCTGTAATGGAGCCTGTGGTGTTAAAGTCACACCAACGCTGTTGAGGAGCTGCTCTTCCCTACACACTGAGGAGGCAATATCAGTGACTTTTACACATACAGGGGCTGGAGCAGCAAGTCTCTAGGTAGTTTTGGAGTTTTGGAGTCCCCTTATTCTAAAAAAGTACCTTGCAGACACAATAACCACCTTTGTCTTAACGTCCCCTCCATCCTCTTACCAAAGCAACACTCTGTCTGTGAGTGCCCAGCTGGTAACATGGGGCTGTAGATGTCCAGCACCCTGTGGGGATACAGCCAGGTTAAGATTCAACTTTATCCTTTTTATCCTACTAAAGGAGGGAGGTTGATTTCTGTGCTTAGTAAGTGTAAGTCTTGAGGTAGAGCTCTTTAAAGACTTTACTTGAGATTTGAGTTTCCAAAGAGCATGAAACTTAGGTTTACCAGAGACTCTCTGGCTATGGCTTTCCCTGCCCCGGAGCTGTGTTTTGCAGTGTTTTTCTCTCTGCCCCCAGGCTATAGTTCAGTGGTGGCTGCACTGATCGGAGAACATACAGCTTGGGAATTATTTGGGGCAATTTGTGATAAGAGATGTCTTGTCATTCCCATTACCATTGTCATTTTAAAAACATCTTTCCAGCAACCTCAGTGAGCTGCTTCCAGCAGTGCTTCCCAGTGTCTTAGCAGGTTTGGCCACAGATGTGACCCTGGTGATGGGGAAAGCACCGTGCTGGGGTCTCCTCCATTCTCGCATACTTAGGTTTGCTAGCCTTGTACAGACAGATAGGCATGACATTTCTGGAGCCCTCAGGCCTGTCAACTGTGCTCCATGTTGTGCCTGTACATAAATAAGTTGATTGTGCATAAATCCTCTGATCAGCTGCCCATCCAGTCTCTGGGTGCTCACAGAAATGGCACATGCAACTGACCCTTGACTTTAATGAGAGCTGATAAGGAGCAAACAGAAGTTTGGGTGAATTGCTGCATCTGTAACAGCTTTGTCTTGGCTGATGTCCTGGGATAGTTCTTGAAGCATCTGCAGTGGGCTTTGAGAAGAAGTATTACCTGCAGGCAAAGTGAGTTGGCTTAAGTGATTGGACTGCAGATTTGGATGTTAGTACTTAAACCTCTCATCGTTATTCTCCTTGTACCAGTACTATGATCCCCTTGAAGAGGTTTACATAGCTTTTTATAAATGTTGAGCTCGCTTTGCTAACCCTCTGAGGTCACTGGACAGTAGAGGCTGGCTTGCAGCAGCTGGAATAGAAAAAATAAATTTACCTCCTTGTTAACCGCATTCTCCCCTTCCTGCAGCACATCTATGAGAAGGTAGCAAGTCTTTGAGAGCAGTTCTTTCTTTAAGTACCAACAATAGAAACAAATGCACCAGAGAAATGAAAAGGCCACTGGGGATATGGAACAGATCATTGTATTTAGGCATTTTCTTTAAATCTTTAAACTGCAGTACCATTAATTTTGAAGTATTGTTTAACAGACTCCTGAGAAAAAGCAGAATGACCAGCGGAATAGGAAGAGGAAAGCAGAACCCTATGAGACCAGTCAAGGTAATCCATGCTCCAGCCCTGCCACAGGATTGCCACATGCTTGCTAACTCGGGCACAATGTGCACAGGCAGTGTCCTAGGAAACTAATGGCTCTTCTCAATGGTGTGTCAGGCAGCTTGTTATAAACTACTCCATAATGGTGCATTTTCTTCTGAGAGCCTTGTTATCCTTATTGGCAGGAAAATACTTGGCTTATTTGCACAAACTCTTGCATTTTTATGTGACAGGCTGGCCAGAGGCTTCATATGCTGCTCTGAAGTGTTGTTTTGGTCCTGTGTCATTACCTATTCAGCAGCCAGACTTCAGAATACAGCCTGTACTCTCTTCCTTGCTTTCCAGGATGTGTGCCTGCCCTGTTAGAGCAGGTTCTCGCCATGACAAACTAGGAAAAAGCTGTGCTCAAGCAGGCAGTGCTGTCCTGAGTGCTGTGGAAAACCTGGCATATTCAACCCAAGTTCAGATTTTCTAGCAAATGGACAGATTTTGATTTCTTTCATTCTTCAACAAGAAAGTAATGAGAATTGTGTTGACAGAACTGCTTTTTGATAATATGGTAGTAAGAAAAAAGGACTAGGTTTTAATGAGCTGATGTTAAGTCACTGCTAATTATCTCTCAAACTCTTACAGGAATGCTTGTGAGAGATGTAAGATGCAGTAATTTATCTGAAGGCAGAGGAGTAAAAGTACCCTTTGCTCTGTCCTTATCTTGAAGGAAACTTTGGAGAACCGATGCAAAAGTCAAGACCTTTAGTGTTTTCTAAGTACTTCAGCAAGTGCAAATGCTGTTTGATTGGATCTTACATGTTTGGAATTGAGAGTTAATTGAATTGTCAACTGTAGAGCTTCCCAAAAACAGCACAAGAGCTGTAACCCTGGGATGGGGTTTTGTTGTGCAGAAGCTTTGTTGTGATAGGTGTTGCACTGAACAGGACAAGGAGTGTCAAAATGTAGGAGGAGTTTTTTCATGGTAACTTCTCTTCTTAAAAGTACAACTCTTATTTTAATCCTTTGCTCTCCTTTTTAGGGAAAGGCACTCCTAGAGGACATAAAATTAGTGATTATTTTGAGGTAAGAATCTTTGCATTGACAAATCTGCCTTAATTCACATTTTGCAAAATCTGTAGATAGAAGTTTGTGATGGGACGAGTGTTACTGATCCATCATTGGGATCGTGGATTGATTATGTCAATCTGATATGCTCATATCTGATTAGGCAGAGGATATGAGGAAGTTGATTTTTAAATTAACGTTTAGTTGAACAGTTGATAGGGCATATTTTTTCACTTAAGTATAGGTTTGAGGTTGATATCCATTGGAACCTTTATCTCAGTTGAGGACATCTCTAGATTTGCAAACAATTTTGATAAGGGTCCAGTGTTGCAAAAGAGCCCACCTACACAATCCTGCTGATTGGAGTGGGAAGTCGTTTACAGGGTTCCCTCTTAAGAAAAACTTCCCATTAGAGGCTGGCACGATAGGGGCCAAACCCCTCCCCAGAACAGTGGTGGACATGCTAAAAATCAGTATTCTTTTGCTCTGCATAATATCTGAAGTTTTTCTAGGGCTGCACAATCCAGAACTGCAGTTCTTCTCTTAAGTTTGTTCTTCATTTTATGGAGTAACCTGGAGTCAGAAATTACTGCTTTCCTGGGTACATTTTTTTTATGAGTGGTACACTATAGGGGTTTCAGTACCAACTCGAGCAGTTCCCCAGCTCTTTACCTGTCCTGCCACTTAACATTGACTTGCACAGGTGCTTCAGTGGAGATGGACATACTCTGCCATTCCTGTGGTGCACGTCAGACACATCTCCTCACAGGGAATGGGCTTCCCAATTCCAGAGAGTAAATAACTGATCTATGGCCGAGCGTGCAAATGCAAGTGTTTGTCTTAGGTACTTCTGTTATTTTGAAAACTTTGTGAACATTAAGGCTTTCCTCTTAATTTATGTTCAGTTTATGTAAATTATTCTCTGAAGCCTATAAGGCTTTATTTTTAAGAGAAATGTGTTTCTTCTATGTGTGTTAGATTTGGTAAATGTGGAATTCCTGATGATCAAATGTGTTTGTGTGCCCAGTTTGCTGGGGGCAGTGGCCCAGGAACCAGTCCCGGTAGAAGCGTGCCGCCCGTCGCCAGATCCTCTCCGCAGCATTCCCTGTCCAACCCCTTGCCGGTGAGTGTTCTTGGGGACACAGCTGGTGGCCTGGCATCAGTTAACTTGGTGGCCATGCTTCAGACAGGTAATACAAGGTTCTGGACAGGGAAGTGTCTCTTGGTAAGTGATTTTGGCTTGTTCTCCATTTTAAATCTGAAACTGGGTTCTGAGAGCAAAGCCATGTCTAGGACCCTGGGACAGTGACTAGTCCAGCTGTAGCTGACATGAGTATCTGAGCTTAAATTGTACAGGATGAATGTTTCTAACATGCTGTGTGGGTACAGAGGGATGCTGGTCCTTCATAAAGGCGGAACTGACCTGTTAGTTACCCTGTATTCCACTGTAGCACATGAACTTCTCCATGCAGTTGGGAGTATGTTGTGTGTTTGTGCAGCACTAGTCAGGGATATTCTGATCTTGACTGAACCCCTTGGGTATCTTGAACAATGTGCCTACCACAATTATTTTGGGAAGGCCTTTTACTTCTGTTTGTGTGCACATGAATTGCAAGGGGCATTAGCAAAAGCTTGAAGACAAATGTGTGTACGTGCACACCTGGTGCTGGTTTTTGGCTTGTGATTCCACTTGCAGCATTTCTGTGAGGTCTAGATGTGAAGAAATAACCAGTGTTTTTAAACCATTTTAGGACAGAGCAGCTAAAAAAAAATTGTTGCAACTAGCAAATTCAGAGGCTCTATTGCCTGAGCTTTAGTTTTTACCATTAGCTGGACCCCTTTTTAAGAATTTTCAGTATTTGTTGAGTGTCACAAAAGTCTGGAGACATTGTGGGAAAGATTGGTATTCCCAAAGCTAAATGCAAAGTCTTTAGTGATTGCATGATTCTGCAGAGACCTTTGTGCAGTTTCTGAATGTACTGAACTAAACCCCAGCACTGAACACTCCTCAGAATTCCATGTGTTGCTAGATTTCAGAAGCTTTGTAATGCTACTTGAAGGGAGAGCTGCACATACGCTTCTAGATATTTTTTAATGTTTCTAAAAATTAAAATACATCTTATTTATTGAATGGACTTTCATCCTATCATGTATTAATCCACTAACACATGTCTTTAAAGAGAAGTTAATGAAGAAATAGCATCTCTGAATGTTGCAGCTATGTGAGGGATTAGGAACAATTCTTTATTCCAGTAGATTAGATGCTCCACGATGGGACAAGTGGATTCTTCCTTTGGTTTTCTTCTTCTATGCTTGTATGTGTTGAGTAGGTGAAAGTTGAAGAGAACGTTTCTGGTGAATATAGATGTTGCACTTAGTTTCAGCCAGGCCAGTTTGTCTCTCTCCTTACACAGGTGCTTATGTTCTGTTCTTTACTCTTGCAGCTAAACCTGTAGTGTTTGCTTATTCATAACAAACTATTCTGGGCCTTTGCAAGATCTGTCCTCTTCTTACAAACTGAAAGCCAGTGGTTTGATCTAATCCCCAAAAAAATGAGGGGATGAGTGAAAATTGGAGGACATTTAGTGTCTTAACCCATTACAGGTATCAGTGTGATCTTGGAAGGAAGCAGAGTGTTAAAATGTCTTTCACGTGATACAAACCTCCTCCAGACTTGAATTAATCTGTACTGTGCTGGAAAATTTCTGCAATCAGACCTTACAGAGGAATTGTAATGCCCTCAGGATGGTACTACTTCTCTTCAAATCTCTTGGCTGATTTGAGTTGCCTTGCTTCTCATTTGATTAGAATGATCTTAGAATGGTCTTGAGACTCTTGCAAGGCCACTCTCATGCACAAGCATTATTTTGGGGTAGGAAGCACACTCTTGAAATTGGTAATATTAACCAGAAAACAGGTTGCAGTGTAGGTTTTTAAGAAAAACTGAAGCCTGACCTGACTGTTTGCTTTCTGAGAGGCATTTGCCTTGCCTGGAGTTACACCTTGGAAGGACTTGGATGATTATTACCCAGACTGCCAAGTTTTAGCAGTGATGGTGTGGCTTTGGAAGCCAGGGTATTGAGATGCTGTGTACTGTAATCAGTGTAGCTCAGATGATTCTTGTTGGTAAACTCAGTTCCTCCACCACAGTTGGAAAACTGATCTACTACAGGAGAAAGGAGCTGGCCCTTAAGTGATGTGATGGACCTTTAAAGGATTTTGAGAATAAATTAGTACTTTGCTTGCCTTGCAGGAGATGGGCCCCAGCTCTAATGACAGAAGTGAGCTTACCCTGATGTCTGGGTCCTAGACATGGTTAGGTTGCTGCTATTTGGTGCTTCTGACTCCGTTTGCTTTACCAGAATAGCAATTATAATGAAATTGGCTGTTTGAAAATGAGTCCTTAAGAAACACAAAAAAATATAATTGTGAATACATTGACCTAAATCCCTGTGTAGATTTTTGGACCTGCAATCTATTTTGCCCACTGACTCTGAAGCACATGCATTTGCAAAGGAAGAGGATGTGTTAACTGACAAGGAATTCTGTCCTGTGTGTTCATTTGTTAGGTTTTTTCAATTGTTAACTTCATTTCCTTGTTGATGTCTGCCATTGGAACAATCACTGCAGGAGTCCTGTTTGAGTTCTCAGATCCTCACCATGCTGCCTGCTCATTCCTGAGCTGCTGCTTCACTGACAACAGTTTTGGCAGAGTCAGAGAATTGCTTTTTTTTTTTTAATTTTGAAAAAAAAAAAAAAAGTAGTTCATTGTCTATTTTTTGACTGTGTTGCAGCGGCGAGTGGAGCAGCCGCTGTATGGGGTAGACGGCAGCACAGCCAAGGAGCCGCAGGAGGAACACTCTGCTCTGCCAACGCTGATGTCGGTGATGCTGGCGAAGCAGCGGCTAGAGAATGAGCAGCTGGCACAGAGGGGAGGTGGCCTCTGTTTTACTTTTGTCTCGGTGAGCAGCTACGAAAAGATTTGAATCCTAAGGCCTGTGTCTAGTTAAGGGATGGGGAATTTGAAGCTTTTCTGTCCAAGTGCAGCCTTGATTTTACTGACCCCAGTCTGTCACCTTCTGGTAAGTTCATCTTCCTTGTGAAGAGTTCTAGGTCCCAAGCTTTGCTTGTGTAATAAAATGGTGTGAGTTTTAAGTGAACAGTTCAAAATATTATGTAGATCAAAATGATGTCATCTGAGAGGATAATCTGATAGATGCAGAAAAGCAAAAGATTTGTATAATCTTGTTGTGAGAAGTGTTTGGTTTGGCCTTGCTTAGTCTCAGCTGCTGCAAATTATATCAGGCTTTAAAAAGCTTGGTCTTCAGTAGGTTGGGCCAGGCTTCTTGGAAGACACTGACTCTGCTTTTACTGAACTGAATCTCTAAAGCATCCTTTAAACCTGAACATACAAGTGTGGTGCAGGCCAGGCTGCAGCTCCAGTGTGGAGATTATGAATGTATCTGCATGGGCACTGGTGGACATGCTGAGGGACATGTAACAATACACAACTTTCTTTTACAGGCCCAGCAAGGCAGCCCATCTTCTACTGGATCAGGGAACACTGAGCATTCCTGCACTTCCCAAAAACAGATTTCCATCCAGCACAAACAGTCACAGGTATAGCGCACTAGACAACATAGCTCTTGGATATTCCGAGGTTGAAGCTTGATGTAGCTTGTCTGCTGAGCTAGAGGGTGCCACTGGTAGTGGATATGATGTTTCCAGGGGGAAGAGCCAGTATTCCCAACTCCATCTGTAACTACTGAGTGAAGTTAATTGCTCTGAGATTTGTTCTCAGCCTGTAAAGAATGTTTTCAGTTACTGCTGCTGGAGTTTGGCCAATCTGCTACTGAGGCTTTTCTGTGTCAGAGCTGTGGGCAGTTTGTCAGCTGTGTGTGATTGTGCTTGGGAGGGGAACACCTCAACTCTGTCTGTTTCTGCTCTGTTGTATCTTCAATGTTCTCCCTCTCTCTGGAAGTGCAGGTGAGAAGGAAACATGAGTGATAGTTGTGAATGTCTGTGTTCAAGCGCTGGGTCTGTTCAGGCCCTGGGCCATGGGTGCATCACATTGCTTACAGTACAAATAGCCACGGTTTGGCTGGCAGCTCTTTCACCTCTGCAGAGTGCACTCATAGAATAGTTTGTCCTGTCAAGGTGGAACATGGTGTTTTCCTGAAAGTGCTTCCTAGCAACTTCACTGACCTGGAGTCAAGAAGAGGAGTAGCTCTTCTGACTGCACTGTTATCTTTTTGGTACCTTTTAAATTACTGAGATTCTTTTAGCTGTGTTGTCTTCTATTGCTTACCAGGGTGCCCAACTTTATATGCAATGCACCTGGTTTATCTCTTCTCCAAGCCTGCTTTTAAACTCCTTTGGATTTTCATGTCAGATCTCTGTGTCTTCCCTTGAGCAATTTTTAAACAATCGTTTCCTCACACCAGTCTGTATCAGAGATGATTTTGTTGCTGGCAGGGTCCATTCTCCATTAACCCTGCAGGTGGTACAAGTTCTCTGTTCACCAAGGACAGCAATCCCCCCTCTGGGGGCACTCACTTGCTGAAGTCTGGGCTCTGTTGTGTCACAGGGGTCACGTTTGTTGTCTGTATTGTTAAAATTCTGGTCTGGGAAGATCTCTGTTTCCTGACAGTGCATAGAGAGGTCTGTGTATGAGAATGATGCCACAGCTAAAGAACCTGGCAGAGATTGTCAATCTTTGTCCCAACACCCATGCTTAAAACAGTGGTCCCAACTGGAGGAAGACAAAGTGTTTTTATTTTCTTCTGTGCATAACATGCTCACAAGGTCCATGTTCTTTGCAAGACATTGTCTGAGCAAGCTTTCTGCCAGTGTTCAGCTTCATGATATTCCCCAGAGGTCTCAGTGGAGCATATATGTGCAGGAAAGAATCTAGGAAGATGTTAGGTTGCATGATGAGGACATGTACACATTCTTGGTTTTTCCCGTCCAAGCTTATTTGGAATTCATAGCGTTAAAAAATAGGTAAACTTCAGTGATTCCCAGCTTGAGTCACTTGTGGCAGTGTCAAACACTGATTTCCTCAGTGTTTTCAGTTAGTGCTAGGGCCCAAGTGCTCTGAGGTGACTTAGGGTGAAGTCACGTGTAAGAGTGTGTATCCTGACTTCATCGGACACAGGGCAGGCAGGTCTGTGCACTTGCCTAAGTGAAATAACAGCACTTAATAAAGAAACTTTCTGCTGTGTGGCCACCAGGTGCATCTGGTTCTCCACAGACATCCTGCACGGTGCCTACCATGGCAAAGCTTCTCCTGCAGGCAAAGAAGCATGAACCAAGTCGAGTCAGAGGTGAGGTGACCTGCCCAGGCCACCTCTTTGTCTCTTGGGATTTAGGCCCATCTTGCTTGATATGCCATGCTGGCAGATGCTCTTTTTGAGCTGTTCCATACAGCATATGTCGGGAAGCAACAGTCAGCCAGGTTTGTCTCTTACTCCATAGTATTGGCTTCCAGGCAAGCTTGAAATTTGGAAAACAGTTTTATAACAACTCCACAGGTAAGTCTCTGCAGTCTCTTCTCAGAAACTGGATAGGTGCCTGCTAACTGCAGGTATGAAATCCTGTGTGTGCGGTCCTAGAGTTTGCTCTCTATTGACTTGGCTACTTTAGATTCTATGTTCATATACATACTCCTTCCCCTTTTCTTCCCCACACTTTAGTTAGAGTGCTGAAACGGAAATATTCAAAGAATATAGTGTGTGTCTTCTGTTCCTGGGTATAACTCTCACTTCACTGCTTCACTGAAGGGTATTTCAGATGTTCTGCACCCAGTAAAACTTTCCAGATAGTTTTCACTCAACAGCTGTAAAGCTCCTGTCCCCTGTGGGTTCTAATACATCAGTTTATCAGAAACAAAAGCTTGTGCCCAGTACTCTTGCTGTCAGTCTGTTATAATATTTTAAAATGAATGCCTTTGTTATCTGTCAGGACCACTTTAGAGTCCGCAGGTGTTGTCTTTGTCTGCAGATGGTTGTCTTTGCTTGTGAAAGATCCTAAATTTGATATTCCAGCTAAGGGCTGATATTTGGTGTGGGTTTTTTTTCTTAAGCCTTTTTTTCTGTACAAGCTCTCCTGCATAGAGACCACCAAAGAGTGTGCAAAACTCAACTATAAATGTAAAATTCATAGGACACAGGATATTTTAGGCTGTTGAGAGTTACCAGTTTGTGCTCGTCAGAGCTCTGTGCTGGCTGACTGCACCTCCTGTGCTGGACGAGCCCACCATGCAACAACAAAATTAATAATAGAGAACATTTCTTCCACTGAATGCCAGGATGCAAGGGATCAGTTCTGCGACCCAGCAGTTCAGATCAGAGGGGGTACACTGGGATGTTAGTGCTGACTGTTAGAAACATTACTCATTTGCCTTAAACATAGTTTATGGTGATTTTTTCCTACAGTCTGACCTCACAATGGAAAAAATATCTGCACTAGAAAACAGTAAGAACTCCGACTTGGAGAAGAAGGAGGGGAGGATAGATGACTTATTAAGAGTAAGTATTTAAAGTGGGACAACTCTTCTAAAAGCTGCTGTTTAAAGGTACTTAGAATGCTTGTGCCAGCCAGGCTGCAGAGCAGGGGCTTGTATACCAGCTGTAGAACCAACACTTGCAAGGTAAGAAAAATCCAGTGATCTCTTACTGGCAGGATAATTGTCTAGCCTGTGGACGCTGTTTGAACCTGCTTGAACTGAAGCAGTGTCTGGGGATATACAGTGCAGAGTTGCTGTAGCTCAATTGTTTGTGTTCTCAGCAGTCCTGGCCTCCCTTTGATCTGTTGCACATTTATGTATTTTGCTGGCTAACCTAATGGGTTTCTCTGCAAAATTCACAGAATCATGGAATCATTATGGTTCGAAAAGACCTTGAAGATCACAGAGTCCAACCATCAGTGTAGCACCACTGTGTTCTCACAAAACCATGTCCTCAAGTGCCACATCCGCACATTTTTTTAACACTTCCATGGATGGTTCCTCCCTTTTCCCTCCACCCAGTTGCTCCCTTCTTCTAAGTCCTGAAGATCTGACTCTGCCTTTTGTTTGGCAGCATGTCCAGTAGCCTGGGAAGCTATGTTTTGAAATGCTCATTCAGGAGAATCAGACATGTATAGAGATGAGAATATCCTTTGGTCAAACTAAAAGAATAAAGCTCTTAACCTACTAGTATTCTTCAGTAAAAGATAAATACCTTCAAATCAAGGATCTTGTCTTAGTCAAGGAGTTTTAATTGACTTAGCTTTCATCAGCTGGAGAGGCAGCTCTTGTGAAGTGTTGAAAAGCATTAGAAAGCTCATTAAAGGGAGTAGAGGGAAAGCTTTGTATATGTCTGGTCTCAGCATGTGAAAGAGCTTAGTCAAGTTCATTGGAGACATAGGGCACATGTCAGTTTATGGGAAACAATCCATGAAGCATGAAACAATCCTTTTTTTTTTTTTTTGTAATTAATTTCTTTTGTTTTTTACCAGACTATTAGTTGGAAGGGAAATGGTTACATTTAACTCTGTTAGTGAAAATGGTTGCACATACAGTCCTGCTACATGCTGTGGTGGAGGTATGAAGCTGCCACTGGGAGCAGTCTGTGCAGAAGGGCCAATGGAAAGTGACTCAGACAAGAATTTAACTGAAAATACAAAGAGTTCCTCCATCCTTTTCCTCTGCCAATATTGTGGGCTAAAGAGGGAGCGTAATCCAGCAATGACTAAGCTATTTTGAGACTTCATAACTGTGGCAAGGTCTTAAATGTTTAACAACAAAAAACAAAAAACTTTTGCTTGTCTTTAGTCTCTTTGTACCTTAGTTCCTTACATGTAAACCAAGATAACAGAACTTCTCTGTTCTAGAGGGGTGTTAAGATGTTAGTTAAAAACTTAAGAGTTTGTCTTGAATGTTTCACTAAACATTCGTTTAGTGAAAAAAATCGTACCGGTTTGCTGACTTTAATCTGATCCCCACAGCTAGTTGGAGAAACTTCTTCCAAAGTGATTCTTAGTTTGGCTCTTCTAAGTGGTTTAAAGTCACAGGCTTTGTTCTCTGTTCACTTTTAGGCCAACTGTGATTTGAGACGGCAGATAGATGAGCAGCAAAAGATGCTGGAGAAGTACAAGGAGCGGTTGAATCGATGCGTAACGATGAGCAAGAAGCTTCTTATAGAAAAGGTGAGCAGGAGACATCTCTGCATAGTCATGTAGTCATAGTTCATGTCCTTGAAAGCATCTCTATCGTCTTAGCAGCAAAACCCTGCTCCTGTTGCTTTAGTGATAAAAGATATCTGGAATCCTGTCTTAAATAATTTCTCTGCAAACTGGAGTGTAATTCAAAGACTAAAGTGGTTCAGAATGTTCAGATTTGGGTCACTTTGCACAGTGGCAGAGTGATCGCTTGCATAAATGAAAGAGCTCTAAATGCAGCAGGCATTGCTTGATTTGGAAACCCATACACTTGAAAAGCAACTCCATGCAGCTCTGGGAATGCAGGGAGCAGTGTCCCATTGTGCAGTGAAATTGCAGATAAGCTCTGGGACATGGGCAGGTGATTTAGACCTTCCCTTCTTTAAAATGGCAAAGTTGGAGATGCTTGCTTTGTGTAACACTGAAAACAACACCCTGGGGACAGTGCCAGGTTCACCAGCATTCAACCTTGTTCAGTATTGGAAGATTTCCAGCTTTCCTGATGGTTAAACAGTGTGGGGGTTCGTTTGTTCTTTCATCTGTTGGCCAGTTACACCGATTGTTTGTGGGCACTGGATGGGCAAAGCTACCCAGGTGCTGGCTGGGACATGCTGTCTGAGTTGATTTTGTCGCAGAGCTGATTCTTGGCTGAGCAGGGTTCCCCTTTCTAGGGTGGTGACCTAGCTGAGATTGTTACTTTGGACATGGTACAAGAGTAGGACTGAGCTGGCTGATCACTATATCTTAGTCTGAATAGCGATTCAAGGTACATTTTCTTTCTTCATCTCCTGAACAGGGGCCTGGTCAGGGCCGGGCATGCACTCTAGCTAAGCTACTGATCCAAAGGGATAGTTTTAATCCTACAGCCAGGCTGATATCAACTGATCATAGGATGGGTAAGCTGCCCAGGCAGTCATCAGGCGGGAAGAGTGAGGCTGAAATGTCATGATGGAGGTGAGCAAATGCCTGCCAGACAAGTGCAAAGCACCAGCAATAGTTTGATCAATGATATTCAGCTGGGTTTCACATAATCAGAACTGATATAATAGAAAGTAGAAAGAATTGATGGTGATTTAAAATGTAGCACAGCCCTTAGCTACTAATTTATGGCTTGTATTTTTACATGACTTTATTTTGCTTGCAGTCAAAGCAGGAGAAGATGGCATGCCGAGATAAGAGCATGCAGGATCGATTGAGGCTGGGGCACTTCACCACGGTGCGGCACGGCGCGTCCTTCACCGAGCAGTGGACAGATGGCTATGCCTTCCAGAACCTCATCAAGTGAGGACAAACAGGATTGTCTTTAATTTCAGAGGCAGAAATGGAAAAAGACCCTAGCAATTGTGTGTAATGTCTTGCACGTCAGGATGTGAGAATGGTGTGACTGATGCATGGAAGGATCAGATAGGAACTCCTGACAATGGGGAACTTTTTCACACTGAAGTGAGAAATCCACTTCCACTGAAACTTCCAGAGGCTTGAACTGGAATGAAATGGTTTCAGTTGTTGTTACCTGCCAGGAATCATCAGTGCACCCACCCCCAGATATGTAGTGCTTGGGGTGGAGGGGTTGAACCAAAATCCCACATGTATCGTGAGTTAGTCAATTTAATTTCCATCCCTGCATATATTAGTCAAAGAAAGCTAATTAGCTTGCACTTTTTTTTCCTTAAGTAGAAAGTGGAGAAGCTTGAAAGAGAAAATCCATACTATTTAACTTGTTTTGCCTTCTGGTAACAGTGATCAAAGAGGCTGCAGAAACCTGGAAATGAAGATCAGAGATCCTTTATGCAGGATGTTAATGGAAATATCCAGTCAATTCTCACCTGGCCTAGACCTTTAAGTAGGACTTAGCAAATTAATTGTACTAGAGAGCTATGTGTGAGCCTGTAAAATCACATCACTTCTCTGTAGTCTGATAGGGAGGTGCAACTCTTGTTAGGCACAGATTAAGAACTTTATAATTCTTCCTTAGTTCGTGCTATAAGACGTGGAAAAAGTACTTCTGGAATACTTACCTGCAGTCTCAGTCCCTTTTTAAAAGGGAATTAGGTATGCGAATGCTTAGGTCATTTAGACTTGAAATTTCAAGAGTACTTTTATTACTGTAAAATGTTTCAGGGTGGTCTTTTTATCTTGGGAATGATGTTGGTTATATTCCAGAGAATTTAGGATAGTTTAACTGTACTTTTGAAGTGTAAGGATACTTTCTCAGACAGTGCCAGACTTCAGGAATAGTTTTAACAAGAAAGTCTGAGATTTCAAACAGAGGCTTCTAGGGAAAAGTGTGTGGAAAGTTAGTAACTTGCCATGGATCCCAGGTTTCCGTGGCTTTAGCAACTCCTTTGGATGTCCTCTGCATGAATTAAACCTTTCACCTACTGAAAGATTTCTGTGAGCCAGGAAAAGAATACCGTTTTATGTAAAAATCTTTAAAACTCTGACTCATCATGTTTGGCACATCCCCCTTTTCTGTACAAAAATATTTTGTTACAAATCTTACAAGTACAACTGATTTGAAATTCATGGCTCAAATCTGGTGAGAACAGATGCTGAAGACAACCAAGTGCACACCCTTAATTATCTGTGTCATGTTTTTTCTCCTCTCTGCTTTTCAGGCAGCAGGAAAGGATAAATTCCCAGCGGGAAGAAATAGAAAGACAACGAAAAATGTTGGCAAAGCGGAAGCCACCGGCGATGGGCCAGACCCCGCCAGCAAGCACCGAGCAGAAGCAGCGCAAGAACAAGACCAACGGAGCAGAAAATGAAACGTAGGTTCTGTGGCCTTCTTGGTGCGTGGCAAAGCCACATGCTTTGATTAGAGGACAGAATATCTCCTGGGAAATGGAATCTTGCCCTTGCCTCGAAGCTTCACTCCATGTACAAATGAATGTTGTGAAATTAGCCTGGCATTCAGCAACATCTGGCTTCAGTTTTAAATAGTTCTCATTGAAGTAAAACAAGGATCATTGCGGAGTCCAGACGTTGTATGAGTTTAACTTTATTTTTTTATGAGTCCTGTAATTTTTTCAGTATTCCTGTTGTGGTCAGGTTTAAAAAGTGGGCTGTGACTTCAGTGTTGCAAGTTCAGAATTGATAGCAGTGTCAGGGTATATGTGGTGCTTTTTTTTTTTTTTTTTTTTTAAGGAAAACAAAATTGTACACACTTAGAAGCCTTGATTTCTGTGTATTTACTGTGGAGAATTCTGAGCTAAGAGTTTTGAAACAATTCATTTGAGATGCTGAAGGAATAAGATGCTCTCTATAGAGACAATGCATTGAGCATTGGCCTGTTCTCCAAAACAGTTCTTCACACATACGTGGCTCAGAGATGGCAAAAGTGCTACTCTTCTCATGGATTTTTTTTTTTCCCCCTCCTGCCTCTCTTGAAGTTACTGATACTCTAAGAGACTTGATATTCTTCTAGAGTAAAGCTGGGGCTCAAAAGAAATTTAGAACATTATTTTTTCAGAAGCTTTTGTGAGTTGGAAATACATTTAGTCAGAGATTTAGCCCTACCTACTCCTAGTTCCCTTTTTAGACTTCATTTTTTTGCTGTAGGCTAATACCATAACCCTCATTGAGATTTTTCATTTTTCATTATTAAATCCCCTGGACTTCACTTGACCTCAAAGTTCCAGAAGCCATTTGAATTCTTGGTCTTAATCTTTAAAAGGATATATGATATGAAGCAAAAGCTCCCACTGCCTTCACAGTCTCAGCAGAGATGGCACAAGGCTGGATGCATCGTGATATTCAGGGTGCCCTCAGATCCAGGGCTCTGCCCCCAAAATGGGTTACAGGTACCTGCAGATTAGGTGGGTTGTTTTGGAGACCACAGTGTGCTTCCTGCAAATAACTAAGTTGGTTGGAGACGTTTCCCCCTCGTTCTGGCCAAGGGAACCTGAAAAGAACTAAATAAAACTTAAAAGTCATCCTTTTGTATTGCCACGTTTGAGCTGGGAGAAACAAATAGAAAGTCTGTAAATGGATATTTTGAAACTTTGCTATTCACTGTGGCAACCTTTCACTTCCAAAGGGCAGGATGAGCTTTCATGCCAGCACAGGTCCTGATGTGCCCTAGGAATCCTGGTCATGTCTGTGATGCTTCTGCTTGTGCTGTGAGCCTGCCTTGGCATAATCCGGCTTTACCGTGCTCTGCCAGGAAGCCTCTTGGCCCCTCAAATCTTTCTCTATTTCTTGCTGGTTTATCATTCTTCACTGGCACATTTTAAGGTGATTTCTTCGTGGTTTAGAAAAGCTTCTTTTCGTGTGCTTGATAAAAACTGCTTGCCAGGGTATGGATATGGTTCAAGTGGAGCACAGTAAAAACACTGGGGGTTTTGCAGGTCATCTGTAGCAGCTGGACACTGACTACTTGCTTAATCATTAGTTATCCAGTAAGTGCAATTGTTGGACTATTGTGTATCAGTAACAAAATTTTATGGCTTCTGGAGGGAGGCTTTTCATTATGGAACTCTTACAGAGGCTGACTTTTAGGCCATTTAAATAGAAATGTTTCTAAAATTTGAATGAGAAGTAGACAGACCAATTATTTTCTGATTTTTGATTCCTCTTTGGTTTTTGGTTGTTGCCGTATCTTAAAAAGGAGAGGAAAATCCTGTCATAAAAATTTAAACACAAGCCCTCCCAAAACGAGTTTCCTAGTGTGTGAATAAGAAAAGAGTTTTCATTCAGGAAGATTAATCTGCTGGGGCTGGTTGAGATTCATTAGGGCAGCCTTCAGCTGCACTAGAGGTGGGTAGGGTGCTTCCAGCATGTTTCTGTGAAACAGGGCAGTGTTTGTCTCAGAGCTCCCTTGATTTTTGTCATGATTTCTGTGGTAGGCTATTTTGGGCCTTGTTAGCCTGATGGTGCTAGTTACATCCCTGCCCAAATGAGTAGACTGATGGAGTTTATTATATGTGCATGAACATATGTGCAAACCTTGTTGCTGGCTTATTCAGTTTTCTCTTTATTCCTTACACAGCAACACAAGAAAAGAATCACAGAATCAGAAAGACTTTTGGGATGGTCTTTTAGATTATCTGAATCTAATTAACATTCAGTCTGTGTGTGTGAATTAGAATCATAGAATCACAGAATATCCTGAGTTGGAGGGGATTCCTAAGGATCATCAAATCCAGCTCAGGGCCCTCATTTTGTATGAAATGAGACAACATGTGACCATTTTTGGTACTGGATTTGTTTTTTATGTTTGTTTTTTAATTTGTAATAAGCAGTTCCTTCTGCTCGAGATTCTTTCATAGAGAACTTGGCTTATGAGTTTTCCATTAAATTTATCAGATATCAACTGCTTTAGGTCTTGTTTCAAGTACCTGGACTCTGTACATTATCAACAGACGGAAGCTGGGACATTTCAAGATGAGCACTTGATGAGCTGAATGCTCTCTCCTCTCAATTTACTGAATAAGGTCTCCCTGCACAGACGTAAAACTTGGTCCCCTCCCTTGAAAGAAGTTGAGGTGTTGATGCTCTGGCCTCCTGCAATAACCTTGTGTGAAGTACTGTGTAGAGCATAACTGCTGTTGGAGAAATCCTCTTGGGATATGCTTTGAACTCAGTTTAGGTTTAAAAGAAGATATTTGTATGCTGTCACATGCAGGTCTTGTTTACAGAGTGAACAGATGCAGCTGATAAGGGCATCATGTTCACATGTGATGCTTTTACCAAATTCCTTGTTGGTAGTAATGAGACTGTTTATATAGTGATTGATTTTTCTAATCCCAAACATCTGTGTGTCATTTCATTTCACTAGTGATGGGCTCTGTCAGTGTTTTAGTGTAAGGCCGTGCATTGTCCTACGTGTGCTTGGAATGGAAGACATTGAGAACATCATTAAACTTCTTTTGACCAGCCACCTAGAGCAGAAACTTTGCACATCATTTACTGTCAATAAAATAGGGATTATTCCCCTTATCCATTGCTTCTCCTAACTACACGTGAGGTCAAAAATATGATAAAGTAAATTTCCCAAGGTTTCCCTGGAAGTCACCTTGCAGAGCCTGAAACAGGAAAAAGTTCTGAATCCCAGGTCATTGTTCTGTTTCCAGCGGCTGTGTGGATAGGTGTGCTTCTAGTCTCAGAATGAATAGTTGGTTGTATTATCCAGCTTTTATTACAAAGAAAAATATGGAAACGAGTCATTAAAGCAAACTTGACATGGAAAAATAAGATATGGAATATATTGGCTTCACTTTTCTATATTTAGATTATGATTTAGCTGTCTTCGATAAAAGTCAGTCAGTAGCCTAGATAGGTGTTATTTGGGACTTGAATTTAAAATTAATGGATATTGTTGAGATTTAAGGCTTTGTTCTCCTTTAGACTTATTGTTAAAGGTATAGGTTGTAGAGTTCATGTAAAAAATTTCACACTGGCTGTTGATGTACTCCGTGGAGTTGTTACTTCCACTGACAATGTACATCTGCAGATTGTTCACTTTAATCACGTTTGGAAACTTAATGTGTTGAGTCTTTCTTTTTTTATGCAGGTTAACATTAGCAGAATACCATGAACAGGAGGAAATCTTCAAACTCCGACTAGGTCATCTTAAAAAGGTAAGGACTATTTGCAGCAAAGGCTTTTTCTGTGAATGAGAGCATTTCTCTTTAGAGATCACTACTCATTTGATAATCAAGAGGGTTTTGCACTTGGAAGGAATAGCCAGGATTTTGTAATAACTTTTTCAGGGTGGTGTTATTCACACATGTTCTTTGCTTCAATAAATCTATTTCTGCCTCCTTACAGTTAGGATTTCATGCAGAGTTCTACTTTTTTGATACATCTTCTGTCACTGTGACATGCCTAGTGCTGGACTCTGAATGTGTATAACATGGGGAAACAGTAAGGAATGCACCAAGGGAAGAAAATTATAAGAGCACAGCAAAAAAATGCAACAGTCATTGACTTTTCCAGTTCTTTACAATATTGAGTAACCAACGTTATCAGTCCAGTAAAATCTCTTGGGCTGTTAAAAACCAGTCCTGTTCAGGCAGCTGCAATGTACATTTGTTCTCAAATACTTTGGCCTCAGTAGGAACTGTACCTGCAAGTGAGGTTATATTTAGATAAGTTGTTGGTTACCTTGAAAGTGATTGCAGTGACTTATAAATAAGTTTTCTGGGACACTTCAACAGATGAAATACTGGAAAAAAGTAGATGTCTTCTGCCATTTCCTGGTTTGGTGCGATCTCTGCTAAGGCCAAGGAGTTTTCTTTTGGAAATGAACCAAAGAAGAACCAAGTGTCTTGCTGGAGTGCCCCTTCCTTTCTCAGGTGGTGCTCATTAGTTTTTTTTCTTGTAACCTTGACACACAAGCTGAATGCAAGGCCTCATTAATGCATCCATACTTCTCATTATTTTCTGTGAAAGGGAAAGTTACTGCACACCCAGAATCTGCTGGCAGTCTGCCCATTATGCTTTATTGACCTGTGAACAAAGTGAAGTGATATGGGCAGGAGAATGCTGCAGGCATGCTGGCTCTACAGCTTCCACATTGCTCCAGGGGATTAACTGCAGGTCCATCTATCCTGGCATGTAACATTGCCACCCTGGATTGGAGGAATCCATTTGGAAATGGACCTTAATGGAAAATGAAGTAATGTGTTGGGATCGTGGCATTGTCTGAAGCTGTGCTTATCCTTCTCCACTTTTGGAAACCGGCTCATTCTTTATGTCTAAAAATAGAACCTGTTGGAAAGGGAAGGAGCAGAGTCACAAGACAGATGGGTAACAGTGTCACATACACAAATTGTACTGCTCAGGGAGCACATTTGAATTGAGGTTTGCAGCCCTGGCCACAGTGAGGTAAATTCTTGTGTCGTTTTTGAGGGCACCAAAACTTCCAGCTAGACAAACACTACATGACATTGAGGAACACTCTGACCTGCTTTAGCAGTTACTACTAGTAGAATATAATGTCATTCTCTCACACTTCCCATCCTGTCCAGACACTGCCCCATCCCATGTGGCATCATGACATCCCTGCTCTTACTGCTGAGGTCTGTCTTCTTTCTCTTGTCCCACCAGAACTGAAATTCCTTCAAAAACAGCTGCATAGAACTTATTCAGGGAAGGAACAAGACCACAGCAGCAAGGCTTCTTAATTACAGGAACTATTACAAACAAGGATGTGTAAAGGAGATCTCTTTCTGTCTGTGTAGTGTGAACAGAATTGCCCAGTCAGTTTTCATTCCTGTTACTTGCCACATGACTGCAAATTGACTCTGACCATCTCTCTGATCTCCCAGACAAGTTTTATGCTAATAACCTCTTCAGAAGTGGAATTTCATTTGTGTTTCCATAAATCAGGTGGAAACACTACCTGCAGTATCTTACAGAGTGTTGTGATTTCCTTTTTGGTTTTATCTTGTGCAGGAAGAAGCAGAGATCCAGGCGGAGCTGGAACGGCTAGAGAGGGTTAGAAATCTGCACATCAGGGAATTGAAAAGGATACACAATGAAGATAATTCACAGTAAGCACATGGGATTCAGGGATAAGAACTTAAAGTAATTTTTTATTTGTTCTCTTCATAATGAGAAACAATCTTTTCATAATGGGAAACACTTAATCCTTTTTAAATTGATGGTATAACTCAATAGTCACTTGATTGTGGGATGTTACAGTTATAGCTTGACGTTCATGTAAGACAAAGGCTTCCAAATGCATCAAGGTACCATTAAATAGTTTTTCATTGGTGCAGAGTGATCAAACAGCATCAAATGTGTCGATTATTAACACGATTATATTTCTCTGTCAGTTTTTTAGCTGTGCGGTAGCTGTAATTTATTGTGCAGAGGATATCATTATTATTTCTGTCTTCTTAAACTGTGTCTTTCTCACCAGATTTAAAGACCATCCAACGCTAAATGATAGATACTTGTTGCTACATCTTCTGGGTAGAGGTGGCTTCAGTGAAGTATATAAGGTAATTTGGGAGTGGCAATCTGGTATAATCTGGATCTGCAGGAAGCAGAGTTTTGTTTTCTCAATGCTATGTGAGTTAGGGGGGGAAGAAGGGAGGACAGCTCATGGTGCATCTGGCTTGCATTAGACGTCAGAGTTGAGATTTTTGAGGTGCTGGCCCTTCTCTTCAGGGGTCAAATTTCCTTCAAATATGTGTCAAAAAACCTTGCACCAAGTCTTCAATTTTTGTTAGGACAGAGAAGCAAACCACTTGTTTCTTCAAATGCTACGTACAAATAGCTGCAGTGGCTAAGCACTACTGAGATGGCACAGCAAGTCTGAACATCTCTGTAAATAAGAGAAAATAGCTCCAATAATAAGAGTAAAGCCTGTATTTCCTGGGGGTATGAGGATTTGTTTCTGGTGCTTTCATTTTACCCTCTGAAATAGCAGACTGGGGGCAGTATATGTTTGTGTAGTTTTGGGTCTTCCTTAGTGCTGAGGATTCCTGGTGTGTCAGCACTCTTAACAGCCAAGACCTGGGATACTTTGGTGCTTGCTATTTGGCTATTACACTAGAGCTATTCCAGTTCTCAGTATTCTCCATTTGTACTCAGAAGTTTGGGATTCATGTTGAATTTGGCTAGAATGAAAATAATTGTGCCAATGCAAATATTGGAAACTTCATAGTGCTTTATTATTTTGATGCAGCACAACAATAGGAACCTAAACTAAGGATGTTTAGGGGGGGAAAAGAGTGTGAGCTGTGTGTAAGTACTTTGAGCTGCTTTGCTGACTAAGCAGAAAGTTTTGGCTCCACAGATGAAAGCAAGAGGGTATGAATGTTTCCTACCTGCCTGCTCTTAAGAGTTCTAACTGTTATTAAAACAAAGAAATGCTTAGCCCTTCTTCTCCAGTATCTTGGCAAATCTATTAAGCATTAGGTATTAAGTAGACAACTTAGATTTCTGCATTGCTCCGTGAGTACAATTTCAGAGGTCCCTTCTATAACGACTGTTTAAATAATAAAAAAGTAGAGGAAAGGATGAAAGCACAAGATCACACAGTTCTGCTGTTGAATTCTCCAGCTTTTATAAGTGCTGAAACATTATGCTCCAAGTTGGAGAGCTGAGCTACCGGTGTGAAACAAAGCACTGAAAAATCTGCTGTATTTTGGTAGTTGTTTTTTATTAACCCAAGTGTAGAAAATTAATTTTGGACTTGTGGGGGATAATAGCAGAGTCTTACCCAGTGTAAAAACTGTTTATATTTTAGTAATTTGGTCTTTCTGGTCCCTTTGTAACTCTGGTAGTAAAATGCCAAAATCAATGCAGCGTGAGTTAGATTCCATGGGGAAGGTCAGATCAAAGCACAGAAGATTCAATTGTTTTCAGAGTTGCTTGAACTCATTAGTGCAACTTATTGCGTTAAAATGGATTGCTTTTCCCTCACTATGTTTTAATGCTGATTTCCTGGGTGGGGATATTGATTTGTTAGAGTTTGTCTGCTTTTGCAGTATTAACTTGAGCCTGAGATTCCTACTGATTTTCAGCTCTTCTCTCTGCAGGCATTTGATTTAACAGAACAGAGATACGTAGCTGTGAAAATACACCAGTTAAATAAAAACTGGAGGGATGAGAAGAAAGAAAACTACCACAAGTGAGTTTATAAAGCAGCCGGCCATGTTTTCCAGTTCCTCCTGCATTTGGTTATCCTGTGAACAGGCTGCCAATTTTTCCCTGTGCTTGCCGCATTTCAAAAGCCACTTTCTATCCCAGTAGCTACTTGCAAAAGTTCTGGTCAGATGAGAAATGTTTTAAATGTGTGCATACACACACAGAGTTTTGTATAAGCCCTATACTTCCGCATTTTAAAGCATCAGTGCTCTGTGAGGGAAGTGCTGAACTGGCTTCTTTATGAAATGTTCAAGCAGTTCCATGGGAAATGGTGTTCCTGCCCATCTTTCAGGTACACACTTGCATTATGTTCCCTGGAAGTCTCCCCTTTCCCTTTGTTTCCTAGAGTAAGTCATCCTAATTGTGGCTTTCCACTACCTGAAGGGAGCGTGCAAGAAAGATGAAAAGAGACTATTTACAGGGGCCTGGAGTGACAGGAGAAGGGAGGAATGGCTTCAACCTGACAATAGAGCAGGGTTAAATTAAGTATTAGGAAGAAACTCTTTACTGGAAGCCTTTTGCTGTTGGTAACTTGCTCCTTAATGCTGTGGGTTAGGTAACTTTGGAGAGTTGACAGCCAAGCCTTCTCCATGGGACTACGAAGATAAAGCTGTGTTCTTAATTCCCCAACAAGTCACTAAGCTGTATTTGAAGCCTGGAAATCAGGCTGTTATGCATCATGGAATTCTTCTAGAATTTGCTGAATTTTGTATTCAGCTGTCTTTGATCTCTTAAGGACTTATGAGGTTATTTATTCTATTTCGGCGAACAGTACCATTAAACAAGATGAGTTATTTTGTAGCATTGCCAGGGTTGGAGCTGCAGTCAGGTTCTGTGGTTCCTAAGAGCTGTTCTGTGCAGTACCTTCTTCACTTGATTTTTCTGAAGCTGTCTGAGGAACGTGCATGGGTTTGATTGAAGCTGGATGCTGTGTCTGGATTCACTGTCTGGAAAAATTAGAATTAAGTCACTTGTATGACTAATGCTCAGACTTTGCTGTTTTCAGACATGCATGTAGAGAGTACAGAATTCACAAAGAACTGGATCACCCTCGAATAGTTAAACTATATGACTACTTCTCACTGGATACTGACTCGTAAGTTGTGTTGCTCTGTCCTTTCCCATGGTTTACCTATTCACTAAAGACAAAGTATTTAAAACTTTCTAGGAGAGTCAAGGTGTCCACACCAATGTTAGACTTTACTGCAGAGATAACCAAGGCATACTTCCAGCATACACTGGTTTTCTAGGGACTCCAGCTCACAAACCAATGTGGTGTATTCTGTCAGATGTGGTACTTTACTGGTAAATCCTGCTCTTGGCCCTGGGTAAATGCCTCAGCTGATACAGCTTTCAGCCTCTGGGTCTTTAATGGGGTATCTCTCACCTTTGTACTGTTGAGCATTGAGGCCTGTGCCTCCTGGTAGCTTACTTTTAGAAAGGGATTAATAGGCTGAAGGACTCTTACTTTAATATATTAGCCAAATAGGTGAGTTACAGACGAGCAGTAACAAAATGTTCTGGTTTCTATCAGGTGCATTAACTGCCTGTTTTTCTTTCAGGTTTTGTACAGTGTTAGAATACTGTGAGGGGAATGATCTGGACTTCTACCTGAAACAGCACAAACTAATGTCGGAGAAAGAGGCACGATCCATTATCATGCAGATTGTGAATGCTTTAAAATACTTAAATGAAATCAAACCTCCCATCATACACTATGACCTTAAACCAGGTATGCTGTGCTGACATGCTTAAGGATGCTAAGGAAATGTATTGGGTTACAGGTAATATGAGGAAGTTTCCTTTGGTCAGATAGCAAAAAGAAGACAGGGCTGTGTGGGAAAGCTATTTTGCAACAAGAAAAAACATAAAAGGCATAGAACATTTGGAAAATGTGTAGAGGGTGTTGTCTCCCAGAATTGCAACATAAAACAAGGAAGTGTAACATGTGAAACAAGGAGGTGTTAACATTTTAGACTGTGAACCACCAAGTGGCTGTGTTTGTTTTTGTAATGTTCTGCTTGTATTCTGCTGTTGAGAGCCTCTGTTATTGCTTCATAAGGTTCCCACAATTACTGGTGTGCTTCATGTTCCCATTTTTCTGGCTTATTCTTTCTGCAGTCATCTGCCTGAAGTTTTGATGGCAGAAGCTAATTTTGAAATGTTCGTTTTTTTAGATTGTATGTCAGCTTCCAAAGCTGAGTATGCACAGTAAGACTGCTCGGGTTTGCCTTTGAGTTAATTCAGTTACATCTGCTGTGGAGATCCTCCCCAAATGGTGGTGTAAATTTTCTTTCTACCGCTAGGGCAGAGCCACAAGGGGAAAAATGGAAATGCTCTGGTTTGGGATGGTGCATATTAGCTGCATAGCCTTTTTTTCCCAAGTCCAGTAAATTAATTCATCTCTTTGGGCACTTATCCCTGACTTGTCTCCGTGTACTGGTGGCACCTCATTGTCATTGTGTAACTGGTTTGTGACGTGGTTTGTTGCAGCAGCATGTGTACAGGAGATGGTGCTGTTGCACTGGTTGTAGTGACCCCATTTCCTCCCTGGCTGTTCCCAGGTTTTCTGAGCTCTGCCTGCAGCTGCCTAGAGCTGTGATTCATCCACTGCCATCACACACAGTTCTGCTACTTAATTGTAGGCTTGGAGAAAAACTGTGATGATCTGACTTCTTAATGGGTTTATGAAAGACTCTTGCCTAAGCAGTAATTGTCCTTTTTGAGCTTAGAAAGTCACTGGGGAGCACTGTCAGGAAGGAGAGAGTTTGTGGCATGTTGAGCAGATAGGGCAAGTCATAACTTCTGGGCAGAATGAGTCATAACTGTGTATGTGTACTTCTCTCCTTAATCCTCCTTTTTGACCTGCCCTTTGGGAGGGGTCAAAACAGCCTGGGCTTGAAGCTCATTTGGCTAACAGGGCTCAGGATCTGGAGGCTCCAAGCAATATGAGGTCACTAGGTCGTTCAAGATGGGCAGATCAGCTCTAGCACTTGGCAGTCCCAGAGTTGTCTCTGAAGTTCAAGGTTTTGAGAGTTTAAAACACCTGGTGCAGCTCACTGTAGGTCCCTTGTCCTTGTGCAGTGCAGAGCTCAATGAAATTTTATTCTTCTTAAATGTATATCCTAAGGGCTGTTTACTTCCTCTGTCTAGGTAACATTCTTCTAGTCAATGGTACTGCATGTGGAGAGATAAAAATCACAGACTTTGGACTTTCCAAAATCATGGATGATGACAGCTACAATTCAGTTGATGGCATGGAGCTTACATCGCAGGGGGCTGGTACTTACTGGTAAGTGATGCCTGGGGCACTTGCAAGTTAAGATCAAGAACAGTTTATAAACAGATTTGGAAGTGTGTCAGCTCTGTTTGTGCTGCTGTTGGCTGTGACAGCTTGACACACTGGAGGTTTGAGAACCTGGAAACTGCTCTTGTTGCCACACAGCTCCTTTTGAACAGCTTTTCACTGTTCAATAGGTCAGCTCATATTCAAAAGACTGGTGAAAAACTGCATATGCTGCTGAGATAGGAAGCTCCAGAGTGAGGCTTGGCTGCTCTTTCATAGTCCAGAGTGCCTCTGTCTTGCATCGTAAGCAAGAACAAGGGAAATACTGTACCTATTTGGAAATTCAGGTGCATCAGGGAAATGAAAGGAGTATTCCTCTGAAATGAGGAGGTGAAGATCTGTAGTTAGCTCTCAAAAAAGATGTAAATCTCACAGTGTTATCTATACCCAGAGATTCACTTGAATTTCATGTTTTCAGCAATTCTTTATCTTCTGTGCCAAGTGTCACTGTATCACCCTTGGCTGAGAACAGACTCCTGGTGAGTGCCACCAAGTGTGACTCTTAGATGTCACCCAAGCTGCAAACTGTCACCGTGGGCAACAGAACATTTGTTGGGCCATTCTGTGTTGTACAGCTTTGTTCTGTTCCTAAAAATGAAACTAGCTGTACCCTGAGTGAAGCTGAGTGTCTTTAATTGGGGCATGGCATCTGGGGTTGTATTTCTAAAAATATGTATTTTGGCAATGTGCTTTCATTGTGGAATTGTTAGCCAAACTCTTTCAGCAGCAAATACCAGTTCTGAAGATAAGAGAGAATGGGCTTGTTTTATGTGCTCTGGTGAAAAGAAACTGTGCTGACTAGCTCAGAACACGAGTGTCTGGAGAGTCCTTGGAATCAGTGTTCCCAGAATGAGTAGGCACTGGTGATCTTGGCCCAGAGATGCACAGGAATGAAATGGGACCCCTGAGTCCCAAGCCAGTATCTGATCATAGAATTTTCTGTTCTAAAGGAAATCATGGAAAATACTTGAAGCTGCTGCTCGTAACTTCTTAACACTTTCTTCTAATCAGGTATTTGCCACCAGAGTGTTTTGTGGTTGGGAAAGAACCTCCAAAGATTTCAAATAAAGTTGATGTTTGGTCAGTGGGAGTCATCTTCTATCAATGTCTATATGGCAGAAAGGTAAGAAGGTGTTTCGTTCCTTTTCTTAGTGGTGTTTCCCAAACCTTTTGGGAGGCAACCCAGGCTTCTGCTTCCTTCTCCACAGACTTGGAATGTGCTCCCTTGTCTCCTTGCCATCAGTTCCAGGGCAGAGTCCATGCTAATGGAAGTGGGGAGCATAGACTAGGTTGTGTTGTGCTCTACCTTTAGCATGTCCTTCAGAAAAGACATTCTGTAGAACATCTCTTTCCACTGGGCATCTTCCCACTGAGGCTGTTTTGGGCAGGACAGGTGTGTCATTCGTGGACTGAGGTTTCTGGTCTGGTCTTGTCTGTGAGACTTTCAATGCCCTGAGTCTCTTGGTCTTGATGGCTGCAAGAGCTTAGGGGAAAAAAAACCGTAGATACAAAGACCCACTTTAGAATTTTTTAGGATGGCTTTTGGAAGGGAAGAGTGTAGATCCAGAAAAGCCGATTTGTCATGAGAAAAGGTAGTTTGCTTTATGACAACAGGAGTGATAGGATGGAGAAGGGAAAGCATTCCCATGGGCTCTTGTTTTTGGGAGTCCCTTGTAGTCAAGTGTTGTGAAAGCCGGGGCTGACACACACGTGTGCTGCTCAGTGCTGTCAGTCAGACATGTGGAACCAGCCCAGCAGAGACAAGTGGGTGAATCTCTGCCAGCTCAGATGGATCACAAATTCTGTAACAGACCCACAAGGTCTGGAAGCAGGTGGAGATCCCTACTGGCCAAGCCAGACATGTTCCAGCTTGATCCCTTTTGTTCAGCTGGGCATGAGTCCTGGTCCTCTGGTATCCACAGCACCTTCCCAGCAGTTGTGGACTGCTTGCCTGGAAAAATGCTGATGTCAGGTGATGATAAACAGTAGATCTGCAGGTTTTTTATGCCTGACACCAACCTTTAACAACTCTTTTCTTTCTTTTGGTAGCCCTTCGGTCACAACCAGTCACAACAGGATATTTTGCAGGAGAACACAATCCTGAAAGCTACTGAGGTGCAGTTCCCTCCAAAGCCAGTAGTCACACCAGAAGCAAAGGTAAATCTGCTTGAGGGTCAGGCAGCACAGGCAGTCCCAGCCTCCTGATTTCAATAAAACCAGCAGGAGTCCTGTGTTTAATGCTCACCCATCACACAGTGATCAATGGCTTTGTATGTTCCATCCTTGAAGGTGTTCAAGGCCAAGCTGGATGGAGCTCTGAGCAGCCTGGTCTAGTGAAAGGTGTCCCTGCTCATGGCAGGGAGGTTGGAATGACATGAGCTTTAAGGCCCTTCCAACCCAAACCATTCTGTGATTCCATGATTACTGCAGCTGTCAGGCTGAGCATTAGGTGCCTCTGCTCATGCTTCTCCTGATGAAAGATGAGCTTTAGTGCAAGAGCTGAGCTGTGTCTAGGGCAGGAATTTCAGCACTGGGGTTGTCACGTTGGCCCTGCTCCCAAAGAGTCAAAAGCTTCCTGTTTCTGTCATAAAAAACTAATTTTGCTTTGGCTTTGGGGTGCTGCAGGCGTTCATCAGGCGGTGTCTGGCCTATCGAAAGGAGGACCGGATAGATGTCCAGCAGCTGGCCTGTGACCCCTACTTGCTGCCTCACATCCGCAAATCTGTATCCACAAGCAGCCCAGCTGGAGCTGCAATTGCTTCAACCTCTGGATCATCCAATAACAGCTCTTCAAACTGAGACAGAGTAATAGGCCAAAAACTGCTTGAGAAACCGGCAAAAAGACTTTCGGAAACACATTTGGAACAGAGGAATCCACAAGGGTCTCAAGAAACCTGTACCGGGTGCTTTTTTCTCTTGCTTTTTTCCATCCATAGAGCATGACAACATCAACTCTCATCCAGAAAGCCTTCGGCATCTAGGCCAAGCTATGTGGATAGGAGATGGCTTGAGGTTTGTCCAGTCAGTGACCACAACAGGGTGGCTGCTCTGAGCAAGGAGGAGAAACTCAAGAAAAAATACGAAAAGACATGGTTCCATGTACTGTGAACTTCTGAACATGCAGCCTTGGGGAATCCAGGACGCCGTGTGTGCTTCATATGAAGAATGTGGACTTTGGAAAAAAGACTGGGCTAGTCCAGTGTTGATATTTAAACATTGTTCTTTTTCTTTTAATAAAGTTTAGGTAACATCTCCTGAAAAGCTCGAAGCACCAAGGTTCAGCTGGGGATGGTATATGACTCTTTGCCCTTTGGAGGGGAAAAAAGTTGATCCTGCCTGTTCATGGCACTAGAGTTAGTGTTTTACCCTTAATTAATTTCAATTTTTTAAAAATAACAATTTTTTGGAAGAAAAGAGTTTTCTGGTCTCAGTGAAACCCGTATTAGCAGGTTGGTGGCAGTGTCTATTCTGCAGCTGGTGCATATTTCTGCTCCTTTGGGGTGGCCTCTTAGGAATGATTCACCTTCTCAAGGAGGGTGGTGAAGCCCTGGGAGAACAGGCCTGCGTCACTCTGTGATCAGAGTGGGTCACAGCTCAGGCTGCCACAAGGTCTCAGCTGCTGCTTCATGGCTGTCACAATGGTTGCACCTTTTTAATGTGTTAAAGTGCTGTTGTTTTTGCAGACCCAGCCCATCATGCTCATACCGAGCTCTCCACACTTGTGAGCCTGATCTTGGCTGGCAGGCAGAGAGTGGGCGGGAATTGGTGCACGGCTCAGGTGTCACAGGTGTGATCTGTGCCCACACAGCTCTCTACTGATCCGGTTCCTGTTAGAGCATTCCGAAGCTGAAGCCTTGTCTGGTCCTCTCTGTTGGGTGACTTGGCAGCAAAGCTTCCTCTCTCCCTTGACACTTTTCAAACTTGCTGACTTAGGAAACTTGCTGCCATCACTGCATCCAATTTCAGATGGCAGGGAATGAGATAATGTCTTTGAAAGGAGCAAACACCCTAATTACTGTCTCCCTCCTGTAATCTGCCTGGAGGGGTCTTGTACCTTCAGCTGCACCTGCCTGCTGTGAAATGGGAGCCTCCCCCTCTGCTTCCTTTTCCCTCCCCCATGGAAGGAAAACGAAACATGAAAAGCGCAGCAGTTGAACATGTGGCAGCCAGGTTGGAGTGCTTCTAACATGTGGCAGGAGTTCTTAGCCAGAAATATTTAAAGATGCAGTGTTGAGTAGCAGGGTTTGTCCTGGGGGTGTAGATGAGCACTGCACTACTGCAATTCAGGATGGTGGTTAAAAACCAAACCACCCTGTGCGCACTTCCTAACCCAGTCCCTTTGTGGGACAATTCGAAGATTATACCCACAGCTGTGGCATCTGTTTGGGTTGCTCTCTTACCCTAGTGGCATCTCCTGGCAAGTGCTGTTCTCCGTCATGCACTCAGAGCTGCCACTTGTTCACCTTATTGTGAGCCATCATCTGCAAATACTGTCCTTAAACCTGATCAGGAACTTGCTAACTGAGAAATGGAGCAGTCTGTTGGAATTAAGCAACAGGCCAGGGAAGTGGAGAACTCTGCTGCTTTGTTTTTTCTTACTATTTTTCCTCGGACTTTTAATTGGATTTACTCCCTTGCAGCTGTATCTAAGGTGGTGTCTAAACTGCTGTAGTGTTTTAGACAAAGAACATAAAACTGCATCTTTAAATCCTCTGCCATCCTCTCTCAGCCTTCTCCATGCCTGCTGCTCTAAGCCAGAAGTTAATTGTCCAGCAAGCAGCTTCAACATGTTTATTCAGCCTCTGTCAGGATAAATCAGGGTTGGTGCTTCATCCCATTTGCCAAAACTGGTGATTTGGTATCTGTCCACATCGGGGAGAATTCTAAAAGGGTTTTTTCTATCCTGGTCCCATTGTTTCTTGGCCATCCAGTGTGTGCATTTCTGGGGGTATGATTAGTTTTGTGTCAGAAGCATTTATTCCTGCTGTGTGACACCCATCCAGGGCCAGGGGCAGTGGCAGCCTTGTGGGGCTGATAGCAGGGAAGAAGAACCCTGGTAGAATTCTGGCTGCAACACTTCCCTTGTTAAGATGGGTTTCACTTCCAATAACAGACCCTATTGCCACACTGTTCATTTACTTAAAGTGTATGAAGAATTTGTAACTTAAACCAGGCCAGAGTGTTTTGGCTCTACCCAACAGATGAGACATGGATATTAAAATAAGTTTTAAGAAACTGATTCACTTGGCTTTTACTGTTTTTCTGCTCTTGGCATTGGTATGAGCTCACTTGCACTGGCTGCACAGAGCTGACGCATGACAGGACAAGGAAGGATGGAGGAAGGGTGCATTCCATAGCTCAGAGCAGTGAGATCTCTGCATCAGAAGGGGAATCGCTGAAAATTACTGTGTCACTTAATTACTGATTTTGATCTTGTCCTGGAACATAACTTAGAAAGCTGAGGTGGGTTTGTCCCTCATTTACTGTACAATAGCAGCTCTAGAAGCCATATATGTTGAGGTCATAAAAAACACCTTTTTCTGTTAATAAAATCTGTGGATCACAACCCCCCAATTCACTCCACAGCCCACGTGCCAAGTCTCCCCTCTTAGTCACCCACAACAACCACACTGAGCAGTGAGGAAACTCAGTTCCTTTAATTTCTTAGGGCTTGGCCTTGTCAGCTTTACAAAAATGAAAAAGGACCTTGGCAGCTGAAGAGTTGAGTCTGTTTGTATCTGGAGTGGGGAGCGCAGGGGCCCTTGGCACATCCAGCTCCTCCACAGGCATGTGGAGCACCTGTGCTGGGCATCCCCCAGGAGCCAGGGCCATACCTGCCTCCAAAGTTGCTTCCTCAGGTGAACAGTCACCAGGCCCCAGGTTACTCTGCAAACCTGACCTGACCTTCATTGTGCCTGAAGTCAAACAGTGATGGAGCTTGGCTCCCTCCCTGCCACTGCAATTGATTGTTTTTCAGGTTTTTGGAGTGTGTGGCACTCCATAATTAGGCACAGCCCTGACTCCCACCACCCTGGACCTAACCTTTGCTACCATGTGCTGGTGCATCTTTGCACCGAGATACTCATTTTCCACAGCTGCACCTAGCTCTGCCTGTGGTCTCTGCTTCTCCCTGGCCCCTGCACTGCCCTCATGGGCAACTGGGTGTCCCCCTGGCCATCACCCTGGGTGGGGGCAAAAGGCCAAACAAACTCAGAGCAGCTCAGCCTCCCCTCGCTACATTCACACCCAGGAGCAGGCTCTTGGCCACAAGGACACTATTGTCTGTTCTGGAAGCGGGCCTGAGACACACTCCCATGCTTTAGATGCATAGGGGTGTGACAGCCAGGAGAACCTGCTGGCATGTACTGATGGTGAGGAGCTTCATGCTGCCACCAGCTCCTTGTGCTCTTCCTGCTGCTCTGTGCTCCCAGCCTGCATCTCTTCCTGGGATGGGTTACTGTAGTCTTTCTTCTCCCTCCACCTTTGGCTGCAGCTTGTGTTTCACTCACTCTGTTGCTACTCATTTCCAAACACATTCAGTGACGGGAAGGCTCAAGTGCTTCGAGCTGATTCAGGAAAGTCTGAAAATAGAGGTTATCCACCATTTGCCCGCCAGTGTGAGATGAGCCTCACCAGGCCCACAGACAGCCCTGGCCAGGAGCTGCTTTCCCATCCTCTGTTGCTTGGGCTGCAGGGATGGTGCAGAGCAGTGCCATGGTCCAAGTGGAGTTAAAATACAGGGATGGAGAGAAAAATGCAGGGATGCTGTGAGCAGCAGCAGGATGAAGACAGGGAAATTCAGCCTCATGTTCAGGCCAGATCTCCCATTTCCACCTGGACTGCCCTGGGGAATGCCAGCAGCAAAGTTAAAGGTGATCGGCTTGCTTTCCATTCAGGGGAAGAAAAAATCCAGTGCTCTCCTCAGCCGTGTCCTCTCCTGACTGAAGGTGCCGGCTGCGTGGGAGCCACAAGCATGTGCTGCCTGTCGGCGACCACCTTACTCTTGGCTCTGGTGTGTATCAGGACCAGGAGTCCAAATCTCCTTTGTTCAGCATTGGCTCATCCCAGCTCCCACTAATCCTGAAAATCCACGCTCTCACACCCAAACCCAGGAGAGTGGCTAGGATTGCTGCCAAAACCCCTTCAGGCTAAAGGAACTGGTGAGGGATGGAAGTGGAAGGGACATGCCCGTGGCTATGAGGTAAGGCAGTGGCAGAGGTTGAAATAAAGCACTCAGGGCCAACTGGACCATTCTGCTTTTGCTGAAAAGGGCCAGGGAACAGAGTGAGATCTCTGCACTGTTGTCCCATACCTGCTTCCGGCAGGAGGAAGATGCCGTTCAGGATGTGCTGTCTTCCACTACTCTCCAGCTGCTTTCCCTCCCCACTCTGCAGCCCAGTCCAATTTGCTCTTGAACCATGCAGAGAAAGTGTTCTTCTAAAAGGCAAATTTCTTATAAATGGCTGGAATTCCCTCTCTGCTCCTTTTGAGGAGCCTTCCAGGGGAGGCCAGGTAGGAAGGAAAGGCAATGGGCTCAGAAGGCAGCACTTCTCCTTGGGCAGTCCTCAGCCTTGTCCCGCCTCCACAGCGGAACGCCAGGATCTCAGCGCTGGCCCTCACAAGGCTGGAGCGCCCTGAAATTCCTCGTGGCAGCTCCAAGCGAGCACATCTGGTTTTAATAAATTATTTGCAGCTTGAACTTGCCTGACTTTTGAGGGCTGCAGAAGACAGAGCAGCAAAGAGCTCTGAGAGCTGCTGTGTGGGGCACCCACAAAGGGACACCTTTGCAGTGCTAGGAGACAGCACAGGGGGAATGGGGCTGACCAAGGACATTAAGGGACCCTGGCAAAGCTCCACCTGGTCCTTGCAAGAGCCAAAGGGACAGCTGGGCTAGAGGCAGGGAAAGGGCCCCTCATTTTGGCCAGGATCCCTCTACCAGCAGCTGCGTGTCCAGGGGCTGATCCTAAAAATTGTATTTCAGCTCCTGGGGGAGGAGCAAGGGAAGCAAACAGGAGGCACCTCCCGACACTCCCTGCTTGGTGGAGCCTCAGCCACCAGCACCCAGACTGCTCTCGGAGTGTTGAACCCTGATGAGAAAACCAAACCCTCAGGAGCATCAGCATGGGGCCCCCCATGACAACGAGCATGCCTGGGGCTGTGGAGGAGCTGAGCCCCTGTATAATGTCCCCAGACTTGTCCCCAGACAGAAGGGTGCAAATGCAAAGCTTAGGGATGAGTCCCTTGCTGTACCCCAACAGGGTCCCCCAC